GGCCTTCGTGCTGGAGATGCACGGTCCAGGCAACGAAAGCACGATGGTTGGGGGATGTCCAAGCATCCGTGGCGAAAACTCAAACGCCCCGGATAATTCTAATGGCTGCCATCAGCGGTAGGAATGGTATTGAGAATGGACAAACCTCGAGCAGGTTGGCAATACGACCTGCACAACGTTCGTAAGCCGCATGCAGATCACGCGCAACAACCGTAAATCGGCTGGGGATAGTGAGCTCCGGCCGCCCAGCACCGAGGAGCTCCTTGAGTTCGCGGTCTTCGATTGTCCGCAACGGACGTGAAGCCTCGGTAAGCCACCGCACAATATGACAGCTATTGGAGGATAAGTCGAATGTAGGACAGTGAATGACGACTCACCGGAATTCTGGTTCAGTATGCATGCGGTTAGAGACACGAACAGGCCGCTGGGCAGCATTCGCGAATGACGAAAAGATGTTGCCGTCTCGAGGGCCCGTTGCTGAGGTGCCGGACAAGCGCTCATCCACCACAATCTTTCCCCAGCATGCTCGTGGCGTGCTTCTTTAAACCAGATGTCGACGAACGATCCGACGAGGGCTTGCCATCCAGCTTAGTCTGGTAGCGCTTCACGCCCTTGAAATCACCTGTATACTGAGTGAGAAGAAGGGTCAAAAAGGCTAGCTGATTACGCACCTTTAGGGAATGGCATGGGTATACCCACGGGTATCCAAGGGCCTACCCGCACCCGTACCCGCACAGCCACAGTACTCATACCCGCGGGTACGGGTATGGGTTTACCCATGGTTTGGGCAGGCAGGGAGGAAGAGACAGCTTGGTTATTGTCCGGAAGGTGGGATAAAAAAGCTGCACAAGAGCAGAGTCGAACGCAGAGCATCTTGGACACCACAAGGGAGCAAAGCCAGCTGAGTCATCAAGCCACGGGTAACACTGTCGCTGACCCGTACCCGTACCCGCGCGGGTAAAACCCGCGTACCCGCGCGGGTATGGCCTACCCGTGCCATTGCCTACGCACCTTTTCCCTTGCACCGTTTGGCTGTGCAGGCAAACGCTTGATAGACCCGGCCGTCTGTCTCCGTGAGTAGCTTAACATCGGGGTCGAAGAACTGATAGACGCCGGATGTCCACTTTGCGGCTGGAGAGGCGGTGAGAATGACGAGAGACCAACCAAAAGACAACCTTACTATCGGGTGCTTGTGTGTCTGTGTTATCCAGCTCCTCCACAGACTTCTCGCGCCCACTGCCAGACGATAGAGACTTGCTCTTGTGAGAGCTGTCTAATATATGGTTAATTCAAGACCGAAAGAACAGTGCATAAAGGGAACTCACTCGAAATTGAGGCTGCAACTTTCTTAGCCGTAGTTTTGACGGACTTGCTTGCACGGGAGATGGTGCTGGCCGCCTTGGAAGCGGCACGGCCCATCCGTGCGCTGAGAGAGGACATGGGGATGGTAATGGGGATCCAGAAGAGGCATTCCCCAGCGTTATAAGCCATTTGAGCGTTCCTGGAAATGTGCCCAGCACAAAAACAGGAGGTAGAAGAGGAGCCGGTGCCTGGATGTTGCCATAGGTTGGCTAGGGGTTGGATGAAGAGTCGTGAAGGCTGAAGGCTTGCGCAAGGCTGTGACGTGGCCTGATTTGATTTGATTGCATGATGGCTATTTCTAAGCAGCTGGGCCCGCCGGGTAGACCCCGGCCGGGCCCGGGCCAAGCCGGGTATCATGGAACACTGTCCCGGCTCCCGGTCCCGGAGCACCCGGCCCATAACACCCGGCCGGGATGACCCGCACCCGTGCTCAAGCCTATTTCCCCCCACCTACGCGTCCCGCGCTCGACACTCTACCACCTCTACCTTTTGGCTCTCAACGGGGATCTTGCCAGATCAATTTGAAGGACTCGCCGGCCCACAGCTGTTGTCCCCTGTACGTAGAACTGCACTCGAGTCTCGAAGAATGGTTTCAAGTTCTAGACTGTCGCTCTTCTATCCAGGCTATTTATTCTTTCTGCAAGCCTCATGGTGCCAGTGGATGCCTACCGGGCGTTCCTTCCAGAAGAGTCGCTGCGCTGACTCCCCCAAGACACGCACCCACACCTGACCCACACACACACACACACACACACACACGCACGCTGGCGGTGTTTGGAGTCATTGGTGGCCACACACACGACAAGACAATTACATATAAAAGGTGGGCAGAAGTGTCGCCCTGGGCTCTGGCACACTCTCCCGTTAACTTCTTCTCCGATGGGCCGCCATTGCCAACGCGCCAAGGGGGGTTCAAGATCCGAATCACGGATATAGGGTCGGAAAGTTTTTTTCCGACCCTCCGGGGACCCCCCCCTCCCCCCCTCCTGCCATATAGGGTAATATGTTCCCACGATTAGCATCATGTGACCACTGATGCGATCAAAAATTGGCATAAAAAATTTAATCTTTGTGAAACTTTTTTTTTTCAAAAAAATTTATGTATCTGTATATGTATGTGTGTAGGTATCTATATACCTGGAACCCTCAAATACACATGGCAGGCCATATCACTGTTCAATATGTTCACCTCTCATCAATTACCTGATGATGGGCCTGTGATAGGGTGTACTATCCAGGCTCATGGGCCTGAAAGTATATAGATATAAGTATGGGGGGTTGTGAACTATAGAAATGAGAGTGTATACACTATATTTTCAGTGTCTTTACACCCATATAAGGCCCAAATCTTTTATATACAAAAAGTTTTTTTTACCCTCCGGGGACCCCCCCCCTCCCCCCTACCCCATGTGCCTGATAAGGATCTTGAACCCCCCTTGCAACGCGCCACCCGACCGGCACCTGCAGCCGCGGCCTGTGAGCCGTGTCAAAAGCTCAAGATGAAGGTGTGCATTTTCCCTGCGTGGAGTGCTTTCTGCAAGGGTTTAAGTAATGCTGAACGGCGCACCAGTGTATGGTTAACGTTGACATAATGGTACTACCTGATGCCAATGACCACCGGCGCCCCGGGAACAAACTCGTTGGCCCGCCTTCAAGTTGTTGGCAATGCACGGTGCTCGCACGCGCATGTGACTCGGGGTGCAGATGTGCCAGTGCCGCGGCATTCAACGCAGACACTGGCACTGGCGCAAGGACGCCCGGGCCGCGGCACCGGCGGCGCCGGCTTTCTTCGGCCGTGAAGGTGCAACGACGCCAGACGCGGCAGCTGGCGTGGGCCCGGGCCCCGGCATATCCAGCCCACACCACAAATGGCCAAGTCGGTGCCACCAGTGGCAGTTGCACCGTCGTACCAAGCGCTGTGCCCCAGTGTCCGTTGGAAGCACCAGTCGCGTATGGAGACCAGTATCCGCAGGAGTGGCTGCGAGAATACGACTACACGCAGCCTGAGTACGGGTCATGGTGGCGCAGCTCGTCGTGGGCCTTGAATACGGTATCGCAGTGATCAGGGCCGCTCAGGCTGTATAGAAACTGGTGTACTCGTAAATACTACTAGTATGACATCTTGTATACGATATTACGTACATCAGGAAAAGTCAATCTTCCTGGAGGCCCTGGCAAGCCTGTCAAGGGCCACCTAAATTCTGTCATCAATCTGGCGTGGCTGGCATAGCTGTTCCGGCTGGTGCCAGAGATTTGACAGAATTTGATAAACCATACCAGAATTTACCCTCGGAAAACTTGCTAAGTCCCACATCAATCATGTACCATCATTTTATCAATGATCATCTTTTCTCTGCATAGTAACGCCTGACAGATGGCGTGATATTTTGCCGCTTTCTCTTCTTCCACCACATCCCCCCCCAAATTTTCCCCCTTCTCCTCTCTTGCTCCCCTCTCCCGCCCATAATCAACCGCGTAGCACAGACTCGTTCCTTCCTTCTTCTTGGCGACCACAACCAGTGGCGCTGTGCGCAACACATCGCCAACGATACCGGTGCTGGGAGGAGCATTGAGGGAGCCTGTGCGGGCTATTTGGGTGCGTCCACTACGTTGCCGTTGTCCTTTATACTGATGGCTTGCATTCTGCTCTTCCCCTGCCCTCGCCGCGACTCTCACCCACCCTGAGGCCCCGTCGTTGCCCGCGCCGATATCGCACGCCGCAGACCCGCGCACATCGGCGCGCGTCTCCGGTGCAAGTTGCGCGGCCCGTGGCTGGGTCAACATCCACGTGTGCGTCTTATTCGTCCACCCCCTTCGTTTTCTCCTTCCATGCAGCATGCTGACCTGTGCCCCAGGCCCGCTCTCGCCCCCCCTGCCCCATGAGTATCCACTTCGCCTGTTTTGGCGGTTTTGGCGCTATGATTGGTAAGTCATCAGCGCATTTCTGGCATGCTCTGGCTGAAACTTCTCATGTATGCTCTAGCGTGGACTATGGGTGTAGTGTGGAGTATGGCGGCAGCGGCAGCGGCAGCGGCGGCGGCGGTGGCGGTGGCTCTGCAAGCGTTTGCTGCTTCGGGGCTGCTTCTGCACACCCTGGTTGGGCTCGCCTGCGGCATAAGTGTAGTTTACAACTTGTAATACGTAGAACAGCGCAATATATCTATTCTATCATCATCTGGAGTGAATTTCGTGAGCCTTGGGACAGCCCTGTGAGGATTCCGGAGAAATTCTGGTGGAATTCTGGCGCCAAGATTGATTCTGGCGCTTGCTATGTCAATAATGGGGCCAGACTGATTCTGGCGGCCTGGGATGCCTGGGACCGCCCTGGATGCCTTGGCACCAGGACGCCCAGGCTGATTGAGTTTTCCTGATGTATAGCTCAGTCGAACTTGATACAAACTACTTATCACACACACCAACGTTGTGTCGCTCGAAAGTTTGAATTTCCGCCATAATTGAATGAGCATAAAACATACTAATGCGTGCCATGGCAAAAACTCAGGTCGGGAATTGTCCACCAACATTTACTGGTACTTCTCTTTTGAAGTTTCAGTGTCCCACGAATGATTTTAATAACCGCACCAAGTACATGGCCCACATCTTATTTTCGTTCATACTACACCGTCAACCACGTTCCCCTAGTACTTGTCTGGAACATGGCCATGGATGTTCAAGCGTTGCTGCAGATCACGCACCGCGCGGAGATCCTCCGCGCGGAGGCTAGTAGCCGGGGCAGACGGCTGGACGAGAAGGCGTTGGAGCTTGATTTCATGCGCGAGGCCGCGCAGGGATGCATCCGCCACCCGCTGGGCCAGGCCGTCCAGGAACGTGTGGAGAAACGACGAGAACGACGCGACAGGGGGCGGAACGAACATGAGCGACTCGATGTTCGGGAGAAAATCCGCGCGGGAGAAAAGCGCAACGAGCGCCGCGTTATCGCTGGGCCCCATTTGCAACGAGCCGATCGTGAGGTCCCTGAGGGCACCGCCGATAGCCGGACTATTCAGCAGGGTGCTGAACGTGGAATATTCGGTGTCTGCAATTGATAGAGAAGACACGTTGGCAGAGGAGCGCGAGAGACACTCCAGGACGTCAGACTCGGCGGTGACGCCGTCCAAATCGGAGAGCTCCAGGTTTCTCAGGCGCGGGAGCAGCACATAGGCCATTATGGTGTGGCTGTGGTAGCCAGAGAGACGCAGTGTCGTCAAACAAGGCATTTCGACTGGGGGCTGAGTGCTCTGGACATCGCCCTCGTCGCACTCATCGCAGAGAGTGAGATCCTCGAGTACCACTAGCTGGGGTAGCAGGGCAACGAGATCAGACAATGACAGAGTATGCAGGAGAGTCAGTTTTTGCAGTTGATGCACCGGGAATCCTAGGCCGGAAATCAAGACTGCATCGCCGATGGCCAAGTCTCGAAGCAGCGGTGCGTTAGAGAATGTCTGGTCCTCTTGATATTCCATGTAGAAGCCGAGGTCGAGGGTGAGTTTTGTGAGGTGCGGAAGATCCAATATGTTGTCGATGGAAGCAGAGTCAAGTCCGAGGCCTATCTTGATGGCATTGGCCCCGGCGAGTGATAGACTGGCCTCCTTCCACTGGCGGCAGGAGGTAAATAGCGGCGGTGGAAGCCAGCTTTCTTCACGTGCGTCTACGTGAACCGTGATTGGGAGTCCTTGGGTGCGTTCCAAGAAGTGAGAAAAGACAGGGTCGAAGTGGTCACGACCCTGCAGGAAATAACAAGTCGTGGTCCATAAATTGGGGTCGGCGATGGCAATCCGGCGCCATCGCTGGCAGACCGCAGTGATACTGAGCAGCATGGCGTTGACCTTCCGAGGGTCTGTCGAGGACAGCGTGGCACGGAAAATATGGCAAAAAATCTCAGCGGGGAGTGTCTGGACGGGGAAGGTGAGGGTGGAAAGCTTGTCCTGGATGGCTTTTTGTCGGTCTTCGAGCTGGACGAGCTGCGCTTTGAGCGCGGTGATTGTTTCGTCGATTGCCTCCGCCTCTTGACGCAGGAGAAGCACGTCCGCAGCGGTGAGGGTTTGCGCACCCGAGTTGGGCGGAGCCATGTAGACGATCGTTCTGCGTGGACGTCAATCTCAAGTAAGGTATATGGAGTACTTACCAATGAACGCGGGATGGAAAATGCCGAGGTGACAAGTCACAGCGGAATGCTTCCTTTTTGACAACGACCATTCTCGTCTCTCGCCCGCGCTCCAGCTCTTATCCTCCCGACTCCCTCCCTACATGTCAACGCTAGGGAAGATGTCGACCCTACCCTTGGTTCGTAGGCGAATGCTAGCACCATTCCCTCTTTGACTCTTTTCAAGTTGCTAGATATCGTCAGCTGGCCTTAATTTCTGGGGATTCAGTCGCCATTGGAGCTTCGGATAGCTCTCCGGCTGTAGGAGACAACTGGAGATATGCTGTATCCAAGAGGGGAGGGCGAGGCTGAGCAAAGAGCAATCACCTCCTTCGCCGCCCAATACTGCTGTCTCTTGTCGTTCATCTCGGCAGCATGGGATACAGACATGTTGCTTCTATCAGTGTTGGGCCAAGGGTGTGTTACCCCCGCTTTCCTATTGCCTTGCTGACTAGGTTTTGTAGGCTGGAGTATGTCTCGTGTGTATGCTGTACCCTCCATCTCTCCGACAACGAGTAACAACGCGGGCTTCCGATAGGCATTACCGTGGTGCGTGGCGTTTTCGAGCCCTGCCTACTCATGAATAACGTATTCCTCCAGACAAGCGGTCGTCGCCTTCAACAGCAATCCTGAGAGTCCTTCCGGCTTGAAGACTCCTTTTTCACGTTTCTCGTCATATTCCCCACCGATCTGTCAACTGTAGCTTCACCAAATTCGACTGCCTTGACTCTGTCTCATACACGACAACACCGGCAGAAGCCGCTCTTCCAGAATCTTCAGTCTTGAATGCCGAGCAGGCTTTTAACTGCATTTTCCACCCGACACCGGCCCCTCATCACCCCTCGCTCCGTCTCAACCACCTCAATAGAGCTTATTAGCAACTCCAAAAAAACGCTCGCTTAGCGTTTTTCTGGCCCTCTGATTGGTCGAGAGGCCTTAAGCGAGCCTAAGCGAGGGATTTTTTTGCGCTGCTAATAAGCTCTAATCTTCGAATTCGCTCCAAAATCCTCTTTTTCTTCTCGCCCTTTCCAGTCGTGGTCACGCATGTCACGGTCACGCAGCCAAGGATCGATTTTGCAAGTCCCCATGCATGCCACATACGATTCTTTGGACCGTATCTCCTGATAAATGGACATCCTATCATATCGAAACATTCATATCATTCCCGACATCGGACGCGAAGGCCCGTTTCGAGCGCGTTTTCGTGCTTGACCCTTCTTGGGACAAACTGGACCCCGGTCCTTCGAGAGATGCTGTCAGAGCTTGACCGATTGCTTCTCATCTTCCGCGGTCAAATCCTGGTGGATAAGCATGACTCTACCTGGCCGTATATGCCGCCAAATGGTCGTTGTCGTCAGACTTTGGGGAACGGGCACCAAATGACCATCATTTTGCTTTCCTTCGGTGGCTGGCGCCACTACGACCACATCATTGTGGAACCCATTGGCTGCGGGGTAGGAGCGTGCGGGGAATAGGTCATAACGCTGGTCGCGGGCAATCACGCTGAAATCATGGGGGTCTGCTCTTCTTCAACTCAATGTTATCTCATTTGGTCTGTATTGCGTTTAATTACCCGGATTTTGCAATAACTCTTCCACAGATTTGTATTCGATGCCGGTGCCAATCTTTCAAGTACACCCATCGAAACACGCAAAAACGGTTCACACATTGCCTTCGACACTCTTCATATAATCCCCGCTATGTCTCCTCCTGATACAACCCACTCCATCGTCGACATTTCTCGCCCTCCTTTCCGCCGTCACACAGTCACAGTCACGCTGTCAGCGAAGCGATTTTGCGTGTCCACATAGACTTCGCATATAGCTCTATAGACCCTATTTCCTGGTCGAGGGGCATGCCCTACTTGCAAAATATTTGTTTCGTCCTCGACTTTCAAACGCGAACGCCCTGGTCGAGTGCCTTTTCGTTGGTTGCCGATTGTCGGAAAAGTGGACCCGAGTTCTTGCAAATATGCCGCTGGAGCTTATTGGAATGTATGTTGTTCTACAGGGTTGACCGCTATGCGGGCCCATTTGGAAAAATAATAAATCTGACAGATATTAGTCAAGTGAGCGAGATTGCAGCGGCGCCACATACTTTGTATGAGAGATAGGCAGTTTTTTACGAGACTTTGACTCAGTCTGAGAGCTCCGAGAAACTTCGTCCACTCCGAGAAAATTCGCCTGCCTCGAGAAACTTTCGGCCCTCCGAGAAAGTTTTCTTGCTCGAGGAGCTGGATCGGCAATAAAATTACTGCTTGCCGAGTCACGCGTTGTTGTGATGGCCACCTGTTCGCCGCTTGCTCTGGTGCAGGCAGCATGGATGGCAGGTTATGGCGGCTTTATATTGATACTTTGCCGCATGGACCATGGGTCCATGGCTTTTCATCGGCAATTATCGTGCTTCCATCCGGGTTCAGCCGCGCGCTCAGCTGCTGTTTGGCTGGATAACGGCAGCTTGAATCTAAAACCTCGGCCAGCCCGGCTTGGGTCGGCAGAGCCCTGATGCTTAGGCAGGCGCAAAGCTTAGGCCTGTAAAATCCAGGCCCGAAATCGTCGGGCGGCCAAGCAGCATATATAATACTACCTACTAATATGCCTTTGCTATTTTCATCATGAGCTGGTCGTAGCAACACCTCCCAGCTGCTGGCACTGGGCAGTGAGCTGAAGCAACATATGCATGAGTTTCCCATCAACGGTGATCATGCAGTTCTACCTGAGTTCAGACACCATTGACGCAGTACAGCACTCAGCCGTCGTAGCCTTGTCTGTTGCGGTTATGGTGCAACTTGAAAAAATGAACGGCAATTCTTTAGTTAAGTAGTTACACGTGACTCGGCAGCCGGTAACTGCATTGCCGGTCCAGCTGTCAAAGGGAGAAAAAGCAAGAGAAAAGTTTCTCGGTGTGCCAAAGTTTCTCGGAGCAGGAAAAGTTTCTCGTGGCAGGAAAAGTTTCTCGGAGGGGACCAATTTCCTCGGAGTGAGTGAAGTTTCGTACGAAAACTATCTGATTCTCACACAAAGTCTGTGGCGGCGCCGCAATCTCGCTCACTCAACTGATATCTTTCAGATTTATTATTTTTCCAAACGGGCCCGCATAGACCGCTGGAGCAATAACAACTCCCATTTTGGCCATATGATGGACCAAATCCTCTTCGTCGCTGGGACATTGGCAGGCAGAGGATGAAATCATGATTAATTTCATCCGATCACACTCTCTGTTTCGCAATATGTATAGTCGGCTTCCTCTTCTTTTCCTTCTTATCATCCTTCACGCCCTGCTCGTCACCAACAACATCATTTACCTCCCACTCCCGCTTGCTTTACCTTCTTATGACTCGTTATCTCGTTATCTTCCATGATCATTGGTACCTGCTCACGCTATACTCCTTTTTGTTGGAGAGGTAGCGCAACTGATAGACCTGTTCCTCTACTTACTCGATCCACATAGAAATTTTGGACTTCGATCAATTTCTGCATGCTTAGTCATACATTCTCCTTTTTATTCTCGTCGTCATGAGTCCGGCGGACTCTTCGCAACTCGTACCATCCCCAACGCCGCAAGAGCGTATTCGCGCCCTTCTTCGCTCCAACATCGAATTGGACACCCAAGCTGCCGCGGAACTCCGCTCTGTACAGGAGCACGGGCCGGAAGAGCTGGTGGTGTATGACGACTGGATGGTGACCTCAGAAGCTGGGCCGGAGAGAGCGCGACTTCAGTCTGAGCGGAGAAAAGCCGCTGACTATGTTGCTGCCTGCGACGGCGCGCTGACGTGCCATATTCGTCGGTTGCCGAACGAGCTGCTGGGGTACATTTTCGAGTATTGCGAGCCGGACCGCGACGCTAAAGTCGCCTTGGACCCCGTGTATACGCTGAAGAGGTTCCATGCGCTCGTAAAGAGGCACTTGTGGCTGATTTCTGGGGTACTCGGGTGCATTTCTAGCTTGAATCCGTGCGCTGACGAAAATGCATCCAGGTTTGCTGGCGCTGGCACGCGATTGTCACCGGAACGCCCTCTTTGTGGACACACTTCAGCGCGAATCTGCATCTCTGGGGCCACGAGGTGGTCGAGCAGCGGACGCTGGAGCGCGTTCTCGCAAAGTCCCTCGACAGAGGCGTCCCCTGCCCGCTTTCGTTCCAGATTGGGGCGGTAACGGACAAACGAGCCCCGGATTATGTGTATACGGGCGTGCTCCGCCTGCTTGCGGACCATGCCCACCGGTGGAAAGTGGTTTCGATTAGTTTCGACGACGGCAGCTGGCCATGGCTGGCGCACGCCTGTGGACGATTGGAGAACCTGGAGGTCCTCGACGTCCAAGTAGGAGAACAGAACCCCGGCGTGGTATCCAACCCATATTTATATGCTTTGATGCCAACATTCGACTACGCACCCAAGCTCCGGCGTTTTGCGTTCACTGGCGACTTGCGGAACTTGATTAGGTCGATGCCCTGGCACCAATTGGAGCTCTTCACGTACTCCAGCTGTAGCAACGAACAGCTGCTCAATCCTGCTCTCCTTCGCTGCATTCCACTGGCAAAACTGCCGCCAAAAGCGATACTTTGTCTTCGGGCGGTCCTGGAAATTTCCCATTCAAGTTGGACCGAAATGAGACCAGTACCGCCTATCGCTTGTATGGTCCACTGTCTGGTCCTACAGCTGTCTCGGACTTCCAACGAGACGGACGACGTGTCTCTTGGCAACATATTTGCATCATTGTCCCTCCCGCTCGTCTCACAGCTGCACATTGCTCCGCGGATGATTTCAGTCCCCAAACTGCATCTCCCGCTATGGAGCCGGGCACAGTTCTCGGCGCTTTCCGAGCGCTCGGGCTTCGGAATGACGCTGCGGCATCTAATCCTGTTTGTGGAGATTTCGGTGGACGACTTGCTGCACGCGCTCACCGACTTGATTCAGCTTGAGGAGCTGTGGATAACCGACCCCGCGTTGGGCAAGCCGGCGCTTATCACTGACGTGCTTCTTGCCGGCCTCACGGTCGCCTGTTCTGACGTCCTCCTCCCTCAGCTGATATCGCTGACGGTTTCCACGCACCTTACTTTCTCCGATTCCGTGCTGCGTTGCTTAGTGGAGAGCAGAGTCAAGAGCTTGGATCATTCAGATATGATGTTCTGCCTAGGGCTCTACTGCATGGGCCGCGATCCCCGAAGCGTCGACGCAGAGGTGTTGTACAGGTTCGCAGAGTTGGTGGACGCTGGTGTGCTTGATTTGGATATGAGGGAAGCTAATATGGCAAGGTTTTACATGCGATAACATTCATATGACTCAAGAGTACGGCAGTGTATCTTTTCACTTTTGCTTGTAATTTACATATTGTTTCAAACATTGCTTCATATGCTATGCAGTTCTTTCTTCGACATGGGCAATTACTGAGGGCTAGCTTTCGCCACTTGGGCCTAGATTAATAGCAGAATGGTGCACAACCACAAGCAACAGTTCCCGATGAGTCATGGACATCCGTGTCCAGACTGCGTTGCAAATCGTGCAACATATCTATATAGGGCTCTATATCGTCCCCGCGGATTGCGCCTGGGGTAAACGGCTGGACAAGAAACCTCCGGAGCTTCAGTTCGTGTCGGAGCCCGCGAAAACTCGCGTCGGCCACTCGCTGAGTGAGGCCTCTCAAGAAGGGCGGAGAATCAATGGAGTCTGCAGCGCCATAGGCACGACAAAAGCTAGAGATTCGAGATTTGGAAGGAAATCCGCGCGCAAACACGATGGCTTTCTCCTCGCCGATAGTCATCTTCAGCGAGTCGATGGTAAGGTTTCGGAGAGTATTTTTAATAAAGGATTGTTGTAACAGTGTACTGAACGCTGCATAATCCACATTTTCGATAGATAGAGAAGCGAGAGGGGCCGCGGAGCGCAAAAGACATTGCATAAGGGGAGAGTCAAGGTCCGCCTCGTAGTCGGCGAATGCAGAAAGACAAAGAGTTTTGAGGGAAGGGAGGATCAAAAAGTCCATGAGCTCCATGCTTTCCTCTCCAAGGAGACGTAAGGTCGTCAAGAAGGGCATTGTAATGGCTGATGGAGGGAATTCACGGTCAGAAAACTCGCTGTCGTGGCCGAGAGTAAGCTCCTCCAGTGCTACAAGATGGGGAAGGAGGGCAAGGAGATCGCGACATAATACACGATGGAGCAGAGTGAGTTGTTGTAGCTGGTGCATCGGGAATCCGAGTCGAGGAATCAGAAAAGGGTAGCGAATCCCGAGAGCTCGGAGACGAGGCGTGTTGGAAAATGTCTGGTAATCTAGATCTTCCATGTGGAGATCGACAGCCAGCGTAAGTTTGGTTAGATATGGAAGGTTCCAGACGGTGTCAAGGGAATCGAGTGCAAAGTTGCTATCATGACCACTAGAGAGAGTGGCTTCCTTCCACTGGTGACAGGAGTCGAACAACTCTGAGAGTTGAAGCCGAGGTCCACCGTGTTCCGGCCAGTGTAGGTGAACAGTGATCGGAAGACCGCGGGTGCGTTGGAGGAAATGGTCAAACAGTAGATTAGGGCCCCGAAGCAGGTATAGAAAGCCATTGCCCAGAGGTGGGTGTCTGCGATCGCAACGCCGCGCCATTGCTGACAGACGGCAGTGATGCTGAGCAGCATGTGGTTGACTCTTTCAGGCATCGTGAAGGACACGGTGTCGCGGAAAATATGGCAGAGGATCTCGGCAGGAAGTATGTGGACGGGGAAGGTGACGGTGGCAAGCTTGCCCCGGATGAATCTCTGCCGGTCTTCGAGCTGGGCCAGTTGCGCCTTGAGCGTGTTAATCGTTTTGTCCACTGTTTCCGCCTCTTCTCGGAGGCGAGCCACGTCAAGAGGGCTAAGCGCTTCACGATCGCTGTTGCGTGTACCGTTATCCTCTTGCATGGATGGTAGTAGTGCTAGATATGATATGGACAGCAGGTGTGGGATGGAATTTGGATGGAATTGTGGTCGAAGTGCTGAAGTAACAAGTCGGTCACAAAGCTTTCTCTTCTTGTCATCGACCACCACTTATTGTCACCCGCCCTCATTGCCCCTCAAGCTCAAGCTCATGCTCTCTTCCCTCATACCACTTACCTGGAGTTAGGGCGAAAGAAACGTTCGACTCGGTTCGTCGGGACACTCCCTTTGCCTACACTCGACCAACTTTCTCCTTCCTAACTCCTCTGCTAGATTGCACGAGCATTGTCGAATGACTTTCCGGACGATTGGGCGTTAAACTTGGCTGCGTTTGGTGCGGAACTCCGGAAGATGGGCTGCATTGGAGAGAGAGGTTGGAGAGAAAGCTAAACAGAGGATGAAACCGGCCATACACCCGCCATATCCACCACATATGGCTGCTGCAGCTCCCCGCGCGTCATCTAGTGGGACCAACTTCGCCCCCAAATCCGCTGGATGGATGATTATCCAAACGATTGTGCGTCCAAACCGCATTTTTTCATCCCTTCCGCGGTACTGACAAGGTTTCCAGGCTGGCGGCTATCGCTTTGCTCCGCGCTACCTATCCAACGACAGAAACGAGAACCATATTGCCAAGGACAGCATAGTGCGTGGCTCCTTCCGAGTCTGATATCCTCTGCATTCACTAACTGCACCAGTCAAGGGGCGGAATTATGTCTACTTTGCGACACGTTTCGCGCCACTTCCATTTCCTCACCCATAATCCATCACTATCACCCGCGACTCTCAGCCCCAGACCCGCTCAAAGGCGGTCTCGCTGACGATCCCGCCAGTGGTCAGACCCGCCCTCCCGCGCTAACAGCGCCACGTTTTCGCGTCTCCGTTTTCACCCAACGCACCACATCCTCTACGCGGAACCCCCCCTTTTCATCGACAACCAATGCATTCCGATCTAAAGGATGCTAGTTAGGCGCATTTGTTCACCGTGGAGAACCTATGCAGTCACTATTTTGTACCTTCAAACACACTTGAACTGCTGCAATGGTGTTTTTGGTCGGTGTCATATATCTCCTGCCGTTCCAATACCGACAAGCCTCAAACACATTATCTGTTTTCGCCTACCAACGATCCTACCACCAACATTCCTCACATCCCGCGTTACCTGGCGAAACCTCCCATTTTGGCACCCGTATAGCCATCGCTTTCAGCGTTCTCCATCGACCTTCTCTTACTCGTGTTTCGACTATCTTCTCCGTCGAAAGTCGGAAAACGTCCCTTTTTCTGTGGAGTCACACCGGTCACGTCACGCCGTCCGTCCTCATGGATTTTGGGTGTTCTTGTACTCCGCAGATATGGCTTCTGTCGAGTGTATCCTCTGCTGTAGCTTTATCCCATCTCCATCAGATATTTGTTTCCTCCCCCGATTCCCGACGGAAAGACGCTTTTCGCTCACGTTTTCGCAACGTGGCGCTTCCCCAATGAGTGTGCCCGCGCTCTTCGAGTCGTGGTACCCGACATCCCCAGCGGTATTTGGTGTTGGGGAAACATCCAATGTTGGAGTAAATGGCCCAATGCTCTTCGCTATTCAAACTTTGGGAAGGACGCTGAATAACTCCTCGTTCTGCGTGGATTGGTGTCGTTGGCTTGACTTCATCGAATGGATGACGATGTCCAGCTACGATAAACCACCTTCCTATCGTTTATCAGAGCGTTTTACCCTGGAAGATACCAGTTGCGGGGCATTCGCGAAGAGTCGCCGAAGACACCCAGGCATTATTACGCAGCGACGATCTTGAAGCCTTGTCATGGTGGCCGGTCCTACCAATTCCGTTTTATGAGTCCCTGTCGACACGCTGTTCGGGCTCCCCCATACACAGTTGTCGTGTTCCACCCAACTCCACCGTCGAATTCGCTCGAGAAACGTCCTTTTTTTGCTTGCTCGCTCCGGCGAGGGGGCGAGATGCGAGATATCGGATCGGCGAGCACGCATAGTACAAGGTCCGGGAAGACTCGGAGCAGCAGAGAATATTAATGTGTATTGCGGATGTGCTACCATCAAATAAGGGCATCCCGCTCTGGCCCCCTCAGGATACCGCTGGCAGTGGGTGGCGGCGGGTTCAGTTGCCGGTCGAGATAATTCACGTTGCCATTCAGCATTGTCCCGCGCAGATATCCTGCATCGCGCCGCTCATACCCCAAGCTTGGGTTGCGCAGAAGACGCATGGCCTCCTGCACATCTGGGCCGCCGCTTGTCACATACACGCCGCAATTGCATTTCAGCCCTCTGATCGCTTTCTGAAGACTGGTACGAGCCTCGGCGTGCCACTCGTCATAGAAAATAGCCTAAAGTGAGAACCATTCACTGACCGCTATAGAGATCTCAATGGTGGCGACGTACCCATTTGATAAACGCCTCCGCCGACATTACAGCTGCAGCCTTCTTGAGCGGTATACCGAGCGACTTGCGCCCCGCGTCATTCGCCAGCGCGGCCAAATCGTGCCTGAGCGCAAACGCCAGGACCTCGAGCGGTTCCTGGTCGATGTTGTCTCTGCGATTAGAACGTTAACTTCCGATGAGACTGCTGGGGTTCCCAACGCACCGCATTTTCTGCTGCAAGATCGGCATCGCGGAGTAGACCAGATACTTCTGCGCGGCCTCCGCGAGCTGGGCGCAAACAGTGAAGGGCACGGCCCGGAGCGCTGGCTGGGGCTGGCGGTACATGTACTGGAACAGCAGCTCCAGTACCGCCGACGGTTCCGATAGCTCGATCGGCGCTGCACCCTCGCGGTCGGCATGTGCAGCGGAAAACATGGCTGCGAAGACATCCGAGTGGAACTTGAGGTTCTTGCGATGGACCTTGAAAAGGACTTTATCGGAGGAGAGCAGCTCGAGGTCTGCGTCAGGCGAGGAGACTGGTCGATTGGGTTAGATTGGGGCGTATCGGAGGATCGAATGAAGACATACAGAGAGGCGAGCAGGGGGATTCACTGGCGCTCATCGATAGTGCTGGTGGAGTGGAGGAAACCTGTGTGGGCGTGTGAGCGCAATCGGACACGAGGACGGGTATAAATACCTGGGTCACAGTAGAGCTTACAGATATAGTGTTTCCTGACGGTGGCGCCTAACCGGCGGCGGCGTTGAAGCGCAGGATAGAGCATGCACCCTGAGAGACTCGAGAGTAAACAGGAGCGGGTGGCCAGTTGTGGACAAGGTGAGTTTACGTGCCACTGGTTAGGCTGCCACGCAAAAAGTCTGGGGGTCTCGGACGGAGAGCGGGAATGATAAGTTGCTGATCATGACAATGCCGACTCCCAAGTACCCCACCGCATAAGTATGCTGCGCCGCCCCAGTCGACTCGGATTCTCGTCCCTCTGGTGCGCAGGAACGTCGCATTGAGGCTGAGGCACGCTCGACGAGGGCGCTGTCTCTACGTGGGCTTTGCGGGATCGCCACATCGATGTCAAAGAAGAAATGTCAAAGTCACAGTGTGACACACTCAAGACCACTCTTCCTTGTACTTCGGCCCACGGCTGGTGCCTTTGGCGCGCCCCTCAAGCTACCGAAAGGAGGATGGAGGCGGCGAGCGGTCTGTCTTATGATGCCAATGCCGTCTACTGACGGCTTTTGGCCAGGTTCCCGGGACTTGCTTAACTCTCGAGTAACTTCAAAGTTAGTAAGCGCGGAGGCGGACAGACGGGACGCGGGGAGGCATAATCCAGGGAGGTGGATGCGGGAAAATGCCAGTTTACACTCCCAGTGGCCCGGGAACGATGTGCGTTGTCAAACCCGTCAATTCGTGCTCGTGCTTACCCAGCTTCTTTAGCGGCTAAATGCAGCCTTCGTCGTCCCAGGCGTCGCTCTTGCCATTTGCGCGACCAAGCAATAAAGGGAGCGTCGCTGGCCTCGGTCGCTGTGGGGGGTGAAGTGAGGACAAGGGCGAGGGCGATTTGGTCGGGCTGGAGATATGAAGTGAGCTGGCGACAAAGAACGGGATTGGCAAGCCTTGGGTTATCCCTCTGTCGACAACCGCCCTTCGCATCTATCTCCTCAGCTCGCTCGGCACGACTGTTTTCCTCGGGCTGACCACATTCGTCTTCGAGTATCCGACAATGCGATTGCCATGACTCCCCCCTTCAAGTCCATTGTAGCCAGGGTGTTTCTACGTGGTCGTGACTCGTGCGCCGTCTCCCTACACTCTTCCTCGTGTTACATATCACTGGGGCTCGGCTTTCCTATTAGCTACCATCCACCCTACTCGACTGATGCACCTGCTACCTATTCCAGTCGGTACATCACCATAACCGTGCGGCATATCCATCTTCGCTTCTTTCCGCTACCCGTATGCGTGTTCTTCGTCATTTTCCATTCAATTTCCTGGTTCGTTCACTTCTACGATCGCGTTAAAAGACGAGAGCGATGCTAGAAGCCAAGGGAGAACACTGTAGATGGGCAGGCAAACGGTGCGTGAACGGTGCTATTTTTGTTTATTACTTGTCATTGGCGCAGCTCAAGCTCGCCATGCACACTGAAGCTCTACTTCCTGATGCATTCCCCATTCCATCCTCCTATTTTCTTTGCCCGCTATCTGTGCTTGTTCTCATTTGTATTCCTGTTAACTTTCGGAGGCGCATCCTGATCTAATTTCGTCTCATTCAGACTTTTTTCGTCGTCCATCCTCATGTGTGGTATACTTACCATTGACAGGCATCCAATGTAGCGGGACGCTGACAATACCACGGCCCAACTATACCTCGGCGACCTCTTAACCGCTGTTGTCAAACCCTTCGAATTCTTTTTGTGTGGCGAGTATTCCAAGACCTGCGATTGTGGCTTGTCGGTCCGAGTTCCTAACAGCATCGTCTCTCGCGGCGGTCAATCCACAAGAAGCCGACGTGTTTCATTTACGCGGGTCAGCCTAATCCAAGGTGGCGGGACCCCATCTAACTGCTAGTGCCAGTCCTGTCGCGGGCGTACTAGTAATTAACGGGAACAGAGGGGCGCTGCACATCTCATGCTTTCTCTCCCCCTTCCCCTTCTCTTGGTTGCGCTCGTGGTCGTGGTGGCACAGGTGGCCTCGCAGCTGTTGGGCGCGTCATGGCGGGTTCGTCTTCTATACCTGCCGTTTGGTGCTCGTTAATCATGCCCCACCAAACTACAGAAGCCGAATATCACAACCTCGCTCGAGGACCGCATCCGGCTGGCCCAAGGGGCCCTCTCGCAAGCCATCTCGCAGCTGGATAGTGCCACCTTGGCGTTTCCGGACCCCGGTAGGACGTTTCTTGCGCGCTTTTGCTGTGAGCGGCGCTCATTCGCTGTTCAGCGACCACCTATGGCCTCTCCGGCGCTCTTTACTCCCAACTCGCAGAGTTCGACCAGCTCACGAACCAGTCGCGGTACGCCATCACTCTCGGGGGGTACTTTGGCTCCGCGAAGGCGGTGACGGCAGCAAACTTCTCGGGCCCTTATGTAGTATGTGTGAAGGACGTACATTGCTCCCGATGACTGACCTTGATCTTCTAGCGTTTTACTGCGCTACTGGCAAGCTTGTGATTGACCACTGCCCTTGATGGTAGCTTAATAATGGCCTGTGCGCACCTTCGCTTATTCCTCATCATCTGCGGAGGCTAAAATTGATACAGGAACTTCGGATATGGAGCTGTTGTCGCATATAAGACATATAAGACATATAACAGCTCCTTGTTTCTCCAATTTGCGATCGAAGCGTGGTCGGCAGCAGTTCCCTACACGATCACACAGGCGGCGCTTGATGCGGGCAAGATGGCGAACAAGAGCTTCACGTTGAGCCCTTCGTGTCAAGGCGGTATGTGCCCCGGCATAGCTGAAGTACACCATGACAGCTCATGATCCACACAGTTAGCATGGCCGGCGGAGCTTTCTATGTTCCCTTCTCATTACGACCCATTTCCCTACAATCTGACGCGACGTAGAGCACGGACCCCGTCAATACTGGTGTTGTCGTTATTGCCACCGGGTGCGTTAAATTATGTATGAGCCAGCTTTTGTGTCGATGCTTATCCCTCCAGTGGCTTCTTTGTGTTCGTCTCCTTCAAGCGCCAAAATGTCATTTTCTGATTTGTGCCTAGCCTTTCGGCTTTGTTGGCAGAAGCGACCGCGGACGCGAAGTATCTTTCGGCGGCCGTGCAGTCCATGTCTTTCATCCGTGCACACCTGTACAACGGCGAGGGCCTCGTGATAGACGGGATGTCAGCGAGCGCTACCGACAATTGTGCGTTGAGCACTTTGGGTCTTTTGCCCTACAATTCCGGTCTCATGGTCGAGGGATTGGCCGTCTTGTACTCGATTTCACATAACACAACCTATCGCAACATGTAGGTCTTGCCGGTCTGCTTACTAGGCGCTGAATGCCCACCAAGGCTTGATGACCTTATAACTGCCTCTCTTGCAACGACAGGCTGGCAGAATGTTAGCGCATGGAGGTGCGCATGTGACGAGCAAGCACGCATGGCGGTTATGAACATATGACACATGTACTATGGAGTGTATATAAGGCCCTGGTGGAGAACGGATTCTCCACCAGTTGTACCCCTTCTACAGCGTCCCGCGTGATCGCTGGTAGGCTCTTGGCAACGGATCTTTAACACAACTGGTCAATATCACCTTTCGGCGCCTGGATCATTCTTGCGCTGGTTTACATCTTGGATCTCTCTCACGCTCTTATCTCGTACGACATGTCCTCGGATACTACTGTTCTCGATAACCGCTCGTTGGTCGTCCTCAAGGAAGGAAACTATGCCGAGTGGGCTATTCGGACGCGGGCCCTATTGATCCGGCGGAAGCTGTGGACTCAAATTCAGCCGCGGATCACGATTCCGGCCAACACGAAGGAGGAGGACGAGGAGTCAGTGGCGGCTACGCTGCTGCAGAAGGCGTTGGAGGTGAGGGATCCGGAGAAGATGGAGGAGGCGCATGCGGAGCTAGTGCTTTGCGTCTCGGCGTCTCAGCTGGTTCATTTTGGAGACGAACTCGACCCGCGGCTGGTTTGGCTTGCGCTAGAGGGTATACATCGCGTTCGCGGGTTGGCGGCTCAGCTCGGGGGGGAGCGGAAATGGTTGGGCATGGTGAAGGGCGAGTCGGAATCGATGCTGGAATGGATTGGTCGGGTGATGGATGCGGCGGCGGAGCTCAAGCTGATTAATGCGCCGCTCAGCGATCTCGACATTATCCTGGCGCTCACAAACGGGCTGGGGTCGGACTTCAAACCCCTGGTATTTGCGATCGACGGACTGCCTGGCGATGACTTGACGGTCGCCAACGTCAAGAGTCGCTTGCTCAGCTGGAAAATTATCGACGGCGGACATGGGTCGTTGGATGGCGGCGCGTCTTCGGCACTGCTGGCTAGAGGTGGTGCGGCGAAGGGGCGGGGCTGCTTTAAATGCGGCAAATTCGGCCATATCCGGAAGAACTGCCCGGAGAACACGAAGGGTGGTGGGAATGGCGGCGCTGCGGGACTTGCGGCAGGAGGTTTTGCTTACGCCTGGTAGGTGTGTCTTGCTCGTGGGGAAGTGTTAGCGCATGGAGGTGCGCATGTGACGAGCAAGCACGCATGGCGGTTATGAACATATGACACATGTACTATGGAGTGTATATAAGGCCCTGGTGGAGAACGGATTCTCCACCAGTTGTACCCCTTCTACAGCGTCCCGCGTGATCGCTGGTAGGCTCTTGGCAACGGATCTTTAACACAGAACAGTACTGGAATCATCACGTCGGGATGTGTGTTTTCGTTCAATACGCGCCTCTTTGCATTCGTTTTGACGCCGCTCTTAGCCCCAGGAACAGGCGACGGGTCGCTCCCTCGCGGGCTGGTGGCGGCGTACCTGCGCAACGCGATGAGCCCCTCGCTGAGACCGTCCGTGCTCGCATATCTTGCCGTCCAGGTGTGTGTTCGTTCTATTGCCGCTGAACGACATCGATGATTGACCCAAGAGTGTGCTAGTACAACGCTGTCGCCGACCTTGCGAAGCAGAGCGGCGGTGATATCTATGGCGCCTCGTGGTATGGGCCTGCGGGGACCAAGTTCGACGCGGGCGCTCAGATTAACGCAATCCAAGCCCTCATCAGCTCCTTTGCCCTGGACGATGACCCTGTTTCGACCGCGAGCGCGTTCTCTTTCGCGCCAACGGCAACCAACTCACTCTCTCCCCTTCCGAATCCCTCGTCGAAAGCCAAGCGGTCTATTGTCGTCGTCGTCGCCGGGCGTTGTCGGCGGGCTCGTCGCTCTGGCCTTGATGGCGGCGCTGGTCTTCTGCTGGAGTCGGAAGAGGAGACAAACGACGCCGTCCGCTGAAGCGCCGAGCTCAGGCTCTGGTCTCAATATGAGAGACGGGCCTCAATATTTTGAGTATTTGGCATCATCCGGCGCGAGCCCGGGCCGGAGCCCTCCGGCTTACAGCTCCAAGGGCCGAGGCGGCATTGGGCAAAACGGGAATGTACGCGCCGGCAGAGCCTCCAACAACGAGTCTTGGGCTGCTCCGCCAACCCCCGGCCGAGTCAACGGGCACTCAGAGATGCCGTCCGGCTCAGACTTTGCCCATGGTGCGGGATGACAAGCGGCAAGGGGGGTTCAAGATCCTTATCAGGCACATGGGGTAGGGGGGAGGGGGGGGGGTCCCCGGAGGGTAAAAAAAACTTTTTGTATATAAAAGATTTGGGCCTTATATGGGTGTAAAGACACTGAAAATATAGTGTATACACTCTCATTTCTATAGTTCACAACCCCCCATACTTATATCTATATACTTTCAGGCCCATGAGCCTGGATAGTACACCCTATCACAGGCCCATCATCAGGTAATTGATGAGAGGTGAACATATTGAACAGTGATATGGCCTGCCATGTGTATTTGAGGGTTCCAGGTATATAGATACCTACACACATACATATACAGATACATAAATTTTTTTGAAAAAAAAAAGTTTCACAAAGATTAAATTTTTTATGCCAATTTTTGATCGCATCAGTGGTCACATGATGCTAATCGTGGGAACATATTACCCTATATGGCAGGAGGGGGGGAGGGGGGGGTCCCCGGAGGGTCGGAAAAAAACTTTCCGACCCTATATCCGTGATTCGGATCTTGAACCCCCCTTGACAAGCGGCACCGCCTCTGCCCCAAAAACAACGCGTGCCAGACCATGACGTCACGGTCGCAGTTGCCCCGACGGACTCCGAGCAGTCGACGACGGAGGAGCTGGTGCGGATGTTGCATGGCAGGGTGAATGGCGGCACGGTGGCCAGCTTTGAGGAGCCCTTGCCGGAATATCGTACAGCGTAGAAGTTCTGCGCTGTCCGATTGTTCGATGTTCTTTGGACGAGGGCAGTGGCGGGAAAGGTATTCTGTTGTAACCTCCATGGACAATTTTTTAAAACGGGCATTCTTCGATTAAGTCAAGTTGCAATGGCTAAATAGATAACTAGTCAAGTAAAAATGTGTAATGACGGACTCTCAAGCTGTGCGATATTCCGGCAACGGCTCCTCATAAAGCCCCGTCATGCCCGTGCCCGTGCCCACGGACCCGCCGTTCATCCTGCTGACCAGCATCCGCACCAGCTCCTCCGTCGTCGGCTGCCGCTCCACCCCCGGCCCGCGCCCGGACGAAGTCTCCTGCGAGTCCGACGGCAGAAAGTCTGAGCTCGAGCGTGTCCGGCTGCTGATGACAGTCGGAGGCGGGACCGCCCACGACTCGCTGCTGGGCGAGAGCGACGGGGCTCTCCGGACGGGCACGACCGCAGCGAGGTTTTGCGGCCGCTTCGGGTTGTACCCCGCCGGGACCGGGCCGGACGTCTCGGACGGGCGGGCCGGACTACTGTAAGAAGGGCGACTGGGCAGGCCGGGGGACACCTCCGACATGTTAACGGCAGCGTAATGCGGCTCGAGGAGCGCGAGCGGGAGCTGTCTTCGTCGCAGCATCCGAATCCGACAAATCAAGACAATTGCCAGCGCTCCGAGGACGAGGATCCCGCTAACAACTCCGCCAACGATCGCGCCAATGGAAGACTCAGATTTGGAATTTGGGGCGGGGGCGGCCGAGTTAGTGGGTGGGGACGGCCCGGAGGACGTGCCAGAAGGCGACACGGGCCCGGAATCGGTGACCGCAAGGGAGCTTATCAGTGCCTGGATGGCGGTTGTCTGGGACGCTGGGTCGAACGTAAGGCCGGGCGGCCCTTGCCAGAACCCGCCGTAGATGTCGCCGCCAGGTTGCTTTGCTAAGTCGGCGACAGCGTTGTACTAAAAAAAATATTATTCAGAGTGTAACTGGTGTCAAGTCCTCTCCCGGGCCGGTATTCCCGATTTCGGGCCCGGATTAGGCTCGGCTAGCTCTAAGCCCGGCCCGGTAGAGCACTAGCTGCCCAGATGACAGATACACACCTGCACAGCGAGATACGACGCAATGGAGAGTCGCACGGACGGACTCGTTGCATTGCGCACATAAGCGGCTACCAATCCGCGCGGAATCGACGCGTCTGCTGTTTTGGCGCCTGAGTTTGTGAGTAAAAAGTAAAGCGAGACCAGAGCATAGACATACTTCCCACTTGTATTATCCCCGTGCTATCGGTCCACGCATTCGTAGCGAACGACACGGACACGAGTTGGTCGAGCCTGGGCACATCGCGTCAGCTTAGCTACTAGTAGGCCAGTGAAAAGATGGCAAGAGCCTACATGGTGCTGTACGTCGCGTTCTTCGTGATCGAGTACAAGATCGCGAGGCCCTCCATCACGAGGCCGGAGTTGTACGGCAGGAGGTCCGGGATGCCCACGGCGCAGTTGTCCCCGGCGCGCGCCGAGACGTCGTTTTCTATGAGCCCTTGCGCATTGTAAAGATGTGAATGAATGAATGTCATCGACTGGGCGGCGGCGGCGAGGTAAGCCGGGTCCGATGTCGCCTCGGCAAGCAGGGCAGAGAGGCTGCGTGCGAATGAGATCTACACGTGTGTTGCAAGAGGGGAACGGACATGAGGAAATTGCTGCTGTGAGTATGAGCGACAACGGGATTTGGATGCCGCTGCGACGCACCCGGTGGCGATAACGTAGACAGAAGGATTTTGCCCGTCTTTGTTCTATGCTGCGTCAGATGGGAATAACAATACTTGGCCGCGAAATACCCAGAATGACCCGCCGGCCAGAGTCGCTGCATTTAGCGTCAGCTCCGGCAACGCGACGACATATTCACTCCGCACCTCCTTGACACGAAGCGCCCAGAGTGAAGTTCTTGGACGGCATCTTGCCCGCATCGACCTCCGCCTGGGTCATGGTGTAGGGCACCGCCGCCCACCACGACTGGACCGCATACTGGAGGAACACGGAGACGTTGTAGGTCTTGTAGGCGACGATGGCCCCGTGCCCGTAGTTCCTGGAACATGTTCAGTCCGTCGGGATTCGGGAAGGATAGAGCATGGCACTGTAACATACAAGCCGTCGTTGAGCTAGCATTTTACGTTGTCGTCAGTCGTGAGCATGGTGTTATTGAATAACGCTGAAAGTCGACGAATGAGCTATTGTCGCGCAGGACTCGTAGCTTATTCACACACCACATAGAAACCCGAGAAGTTCTGCGACTTAGCGTTGTCGAGCACCGTCTGTGCCGAGGCATAATACTGCGCGAGGTTGGCCGCGTACTGCGACCGGTTCGTAAGCTGGTCGAATTCAGCGAGGAGGGAGTAGAGAGCGCCGGTTTCCTTGTAAGTGCTGCCTGGAAATGAACACGGATTAGCTGCTCTCTGAGAAGCAGCAGAAAAGCCCCGTACCGGGATTAGGAAACATGGACGTGCTGCTGTCCAGCTGCGAGACCGCCTGCGAGATGGCGCCCTGGGCGAGGCTGATTCGGTCCTGCAGCGGGGTAGTGATATTCGGTTTCTGTGTCCCGGGGATGACTAAGGACGCCTAGAAAGGGCAGTGCAAGGTACACACCCGCCATGACGAGCCCGGCGGCTGCGCGGCCACCTGCCCGACGACCGCAGCGAAGAGGAGGGGAAGGGGGAGGGGAAAAGGAAGCATGGGATGTGCTGGGGGCGTCCGTCCCGTTAATTACACACTGCCGTCAACAGGAATCGCAATAGTTGGCAGATCGATGGGCGTCTCCGATGATGCTGACCCGCGCTGTGACGAATGAATGTGCAGAGCCATTCACGGACGCACGGGTGCTTGTCGATCCTGGGAGCGGGATTGGCACGGCCTCCCACCCCGCCTGGACCGCCGCCCGGGGTGTCGAGGGGATCAGCGCTGGGCTGGGAGAAGGTCAGGATCAAGCCGCGGCCGCATCACATGACCATCCGCCTCTTGGCTTCCGCTCTGACCGCGATGTCCTGCCGTTTTCCACTCCCGCTTCCTCCCCCGGCCGTGTATGGGGGATGCAGAGCCCTCGCACACACGCACTATCAAGCTCAGGTATGTCTTCTTTTGGCTTTCTTTTTTCTGCAGCTGAGCGATTCTGCCAATAGCCTCAAGCACATCTTGCAGCCACTTGACCACGACAGGAGGGATGAGGCGGCTCCTAGAGAGAGAGTTTAAAGCGCTAATCGGGTGACCGGTGTGTGGACACGCTACTCTTCAAGTTCTTGTGCTCAGTCTTGCTTACGATTCTCCTTCAGGTCGGCCCTACTGTGAGTTGGCAAGCAACTCGGAAGGCGTTATCAGCTTCAAGCGGCGCAATATCCCTCACAGAAAGTCACGACCAGCAGCCAGGTTTTCCCTCGACACCGCAGTTCTCCCCTCCCATTTTCGTCCAGCTCACAGCCCACGAGTTATCCACGCTTCCTCTGTCGCTAGAGAGACTTGCATAGCAAGCTGAAGGAGCCTCCAACGCAATAAAACAGAACAAAACGGGCGGGCGTGAATATGACCTTTGCGTTGTCTGTCGCGACGGGGTCAGTCGACAAGGGACTTCATTACCTCGACACCATGATACACACCGAAGACCCTGAAGAGAACCACGCATACCGGCCGCCTCCAGCCTATTCAGCTTTCGCCTCGTTTGTTCCCGGAGTCAGCATAACACGTTTCTACACGCAAACCATGGCCATCTCTTTCCGACTTTGCTCTCTCACCCGCCCCCCTTCTCCTGATTCTCTCCGCAATCCGTTCAGAGTTCTACCGATGCTCTATCCCTCCTCTTTGTTGTCACCACTACAGCAATGGCGCTCAAAGAGGAGAAGATGTACGAAAGCCTATTCCAAATCTCAACGATAAGCATCCCTTCGCTCAGGAACTGCCTCCCTCGCTTCTATCGAATGTGTCGTATTCATCAAGCATCTCATTCCCGTTTCTACACCCATTCGGCCCTCTCCCAACGCTCTCTATTCCTTATCCCGCCATCCGAAATACGACCAAAATCTCCGCGCATTCATCTCCATCGCCTGCTTTGGTACATCCCCAAGATGGTGGGCTTTTGCGCGCCCGTCTCAAAAAGAAAATCACGTGCCATCCTCTTGCGAAAAACGTCGATGTATCGCGGTGTACCCGGGGTGTACAGCCATATTGACTGTGTCTGGATGTACCCTATATTCCACTTCAACACCTCAATTCCTTTGGACGCGCTATTCGATGTGAAAGACGGTCGTTGTGCGCGTTTCTCGCGGGGGTTCGTTTGGGAGAGTGGACTTGATTTGTGGCACGGCGAGTGAGGCGCGCGGCGGCGATGGTCCTCGCTCCCTGTGTCTGTTAATGGAGGAGAGTGTTGAGTGTAGTGGAAGCCTGAGGGCGATATTTGATGGTGAATATGGGACGTCAACAAGCATCTTCTTGTGTTATATTGATGGCCGCGCGTCCACGCTCGAATTGGATAGCAGGTCTTCTCAAGCAGGTCCTATACTGGTCCCAGTTCGCCGTAAGATGCGCACAGCAGCCAAATATCGAAACTACCTGTACCAAATAGGGATATCCGGTCGTCCGAACTGCAAAATTGGGAGTTGTTTCTCCGCATCAGGCCGGCAGGCTCGTTGACGGGTATGAAAGGAAATTGGCTGGCTCATTACGATGGCAACACACTGCTCCGGGCGCTTCTAGCGTGATGGAACCCGAGATAGTAGGTGACGGTGGGCTGTCACCTGCACAGCATCAGAACCGGCCTATCCTTTCTACTTCCACTAGCCGCAAGCGAGGATCCCAGTGCCCACACAATGGAACCCCTCCATGACATCGATGTCCACAAGCTGCGCCAAGAGGCGGAAACCATTGACAAGGCTATTCACGCGCTGGAAGCCGAGCTGCTACGACTCAAAGCTCGACGCAAAGCCATCGACGGCCAGCTCTCGACAATTGTCTACCCAGTCCACACGCTTCCTGCCGAGGTTTTGTGCCGCATTTTCCTGGCAGCGGTGCTCTCTGTCCGACCAGAGGAGGTCAACACCCTGCTGCTCAGCATTACTGCGGTGTGCCAGCAATGGCGCGGCGCTGCCATCGCGGACCCACATCTGTGGACACAATCCTGCTACTATTTGCCCATTCCTCCACCCGGAGACCGTTTGTTTGGCTATTTCTTGCAACGCGCCAAAGGGCTGCCAATTGTGTTTTCCGTCGACGGACGCGGCGCCATCTATGCACTCTTTGAATTCGTCTTCGCTTCTTGCCGACACTGGAGCGAAGCCATTTTCTCTTGTCCCAATCGATTCCATTTCAGACTCCACTTCGACTCCCCGGGCCGTCAGGAGATGGCATTGGACCTTCCAAACCTGAGCAAACTCACACCCAGTGAGAACTCGGTCAGCGCAAACGGGACGGATTGAGCCTGTTTATGACAGCATGTCAATCAATGTCAGACCAATGTGCTCGTTTGAGATGGATTGTGTCTAGTTCATAAATGCTCACATTTGGTCTCATGTAACAATTCCAACAGCCAATGAAAATGGAACATGCGGGAGTCGCACCCGCTACCGGTCCGCTAGTCTGTCCCATCATTGCTGCGATTTTACTCTGTCATCATGCTGTAAGCAGTCACACGACCCTTACATCTCAGATAGTCTCCCTCTGGGCGGGTACCAGCTCCAGTGTTCCCTCAAGCTGTCTCGCAAAAATTCTCTAAGTCCATCGACCCGTGACTGACATCAATCTTTTATTTTAAAATGGTGCCATGTCGACGTCGTCACCTACATTCTTTCCTCTCCCCACCATCCTTCCCACTCATCCGCAAGTCTTTCCAGCCCTCGTCCTCTGCAGGTCATCTCAGCCCCTGGTCTCGTCCCTCCTACTGAACACCTAACAGATTCTTCAGCACTACACGGACGCAACGAAGGCGAAGGAGTTGAGGTGGGCTATGAGAGTGAGAGAAGGAATACAGGACCCACTCAAGTGAGTACTCCTTGGATATTGTGCTACCCTAGGCCTACAGCTGACATCTGCTCAGATTCTAGAGAACGACGACACATGCATTCCAACGAGCGACGGGGCCATGTTGTTTTCCCAGCGTCGCCACCTCCTGGTATGCCTCCAGTATGCACCATGTCAACTGCTCACCCATATCCAGCTTCCAGCTTGCGGTCCATTTGGCATTTTCCACGCGCCAGCTGGCAGCAGGTCAGTCGACGTATGGGGACAACACTGTCGGGTAGTTTCGAGAGGTTATCGTGGGGCGGGCATATTGTAGCATTCTGTAGCAAGCTTCGGTGTATTGTGTAGCAACTTCAATCCATCCCGAATTGTCACATTCTTTCGAGCATTTGGTCTCAATCTGTCCCAATCAACCGCATTGCAAGCTGTCAGCCATGTCAATATCGAAAGCGACCAAACGGGATAAAATGTCAAGTTATCATATTGGTCTCATGCCATCGCCGTATATCACGCAAATTCTGGACAAAATTCGTACGGATTGACTATAGAGCGGGACAGAGTGTGCATGCCATACTGTGGTTCCCGGTGACTGTGCAATCGCCCGATGAGGCGGTAATCGCAGTTTCCTGTTGTCCCATATTGCTCAGCACCTCCGGTATTGGCCGGAAATAGTTCTTTAGGGTATTTACCATCATTGTACGAAAAAAATTAAGGTATCCGCCCTGATTTGCTCAACCGGTGCAGTGACCGAGTTGACGAGTTGTGTAATATTTTGATTGAAACTCTCAATATTGGGTACCCTGATGGTTTGGTCTCCACTGGGAGGGCAATAAAGGTGCAGACTACTATTAGAAGTCCTCTCATATACAAAGAATAAGGACAACTCACTTGCTGCCTGCTATCTAGAGCTGCGACTAGATTTGATGGTCGTGTGACACAGCGTCACAAACCTCCCAAATCGCTCACCAAACAACGACTACCCTGCGGGGAAATGTTTCAAGGCTCTAACCTCCTTTATAGGCCTATAGATGGATTTGGAGACCCAAATATCCAGCTCTGGGCTCCAGATTGCTGAGATTCACAGTTTCAATCAAAATATTACACAACTCGTCAACTCGGTCACTGCACCGGTTGAGCAAATCAGGGCGGATACCTTAATTTTTTTCGTACAATGATGGTAAATACCCTAAAGAACTATTTCCGGCCAATACCGGAGGTGCTGAGCAATATGGGACAACAGGAAACTGCGATTACCGCCTCATCGGGCGATTGCACAGTCACCGGGAACCACAGTATTCAGTCCCATTTCATCTCATTCCATGCCCCCGAGTTCTCACTGGGACTCACACTCGATCTCCATATGGGGCATTACGACTACAAGACCTTCTCGAACGCACCACAGCTTCAGGATCTTACTATCAGCTATATACACTTGGTTCCCAATCTCGGAATCCCCCTCCATCAGTTGCGGAAACTGGCCATTCTCTATAAGAACTCCTGCCATCAACTTTTGTCTCTCCTCCCACAATTCATCGTTCTGGAAGATCTTTCTCTCTCGGCGTTTTTTACAGGACGACGTGCCGACCACACAATCACCGGTCGAACTACCTTCCTTGACGACCTTGCGTCTCTGTGGACACCGCGAGAACCGCTGCGACATAATGCGCCATCTTGTCCTGCCCGGCCTTACCTAGGGAATGGCATGGGTATACCCACGGGTATCCAAGGGCCTACCCGCACCCGTACCCGCACAGCCACAGTACTCATACCCGCGGGTACGGGTATGGGTTTACCCATGGTTTGGGCAGGCAGGGAGGAAGAGACAGCTTGGTTATTGTCCGGAAGGTGGGATAAAAAAGCTGCACAAGAGCAGAGTCGAACGCAGAGCATCTTGGACACCACAAGGGAGCAAAGCCAGCTGAGTCATCAAGCCACGGGTAACACTGTCGCTGACCCGTACCCGTACCCGCGCGGGTAAAACCCGCGTACCCGCGCGGGTATGGCCTACCCGTGCCATTGCCTAGCCTTACCAGCCTCCATCTCGCGGACATCGACGACCGCGACGCATATTCCCTGGTCCCGGACTGCCTTCGCCGCTCCTCCGCCTACATCACCACTCTATCCATCGCACGGACCGACTACTCAACGCTATGCAGCCTGTTAACAGACCGCCCGAACCGGTTCCCTAGCAGTGCTATCAAACAGCTCACCATCGCAGCGCTGCGACCCACCTACCCCAGGGAGCAGGAGTTTGCGATGTCCCTGGCCCGAGCAGAGTTCCTCCCCGACCTCGAGTCGCTCACCCTTGTCATGCCGATGTCCTCCGTGGTTCTCCGCCCATTCTTGGACGGAGTCAGTGGCCGGCTGGCTGGCCGCATCGCGTGGTCGGCGGGATCAGCTCAAGCTAAAGCGGCTGGTCTTGCAGCCTTCGCTGGACGAGATTCAAGTTTCATCAGATGACAAGTGCCGAATTCACGCACTGCAGCAGAGTTTGGCGACTTGACACAGTACGGGCCGGTGTCTTCAAGTTGGACTTTTTGTATGTTGGTATGGGTGGCGAAGATTGTATGTAGAGAGAGAGCTTTATCTTGGTAAAATATCTATGTGTGAAATATCTACCAGTATGTAAGTATGGATTTTGTAATCGGCGCTGAACTACTGGTAACGAAGAACTTGAAGTGCAATCGAACTAAAGCAGATTACAAATGAATGTAAGGGAGGTGGGTGGTGGTAACGGAAAGGGTATAACTAAGAAAAGAGGACGCAAAAGCCCATTGGCGGGTGGGCAACACCGAATCCACCGAAGTCGAGGGCAATTTTCGAAGCATGATTGCCTGCGGCCAACCTATTCCCCCGCACTCTCATACCCCGCAGCTAATAGCTTCCACAGTGATGTGGTCGTAGTGACGCCAGCCACCGGAAGGCAAGCAAAATGATGGTCATTTGCTGCCTGTTCCCCGAAGTCTGGCGACGAAGACGATTTGGCAGCATATACGGCCAGCGAGAGTTTTGTTTCTCCACTCAGAGGTTAACGCAGAAGAGTGAATGCAGTCGCTCAAGCTCCACAAGCATCCCTCGAAGAACTGTGGTCCATTTTGTCCAAGAAGCGTCAAGCAGCGAAAACGCGCTCGAAGAGGGCTTTTGCGTCCGATGTCGGGAATGATATGAATGTTTCGATATGATAGGATGTCCATTCATCGGGAGATACGGTCCAAAGAGTCCTATGTGGGATGTATAGGGACTTGCAAATCACTCACCAACGGCGTAACGGCGTGACGGTGACATGCGTGACGCCCGCTGGAAAGGGCGAGAAAAAAATGAGGATTTTGCAGCGACTTCGACGATGGAGGTGGTTGATACGGGGAGAGGGGTGGTGAGGAGTTTGTGTCGGGTTGAGAACGTAGTTAATAGCCTGCTCATGGCGTTTAAGACCGAAAATTATTTCCCGTGTTGTCGTGTATGCAACGGAGTCAAGATGTGGTAGTCGGATTTGGTGATGTCCGTACATGTTATAGTGAATGAATGGGATTGGATGACGAGGAACACGAGAAGGGTGAGTTTTCCTCTGAGGAATCCTTTGGAAGGTTTTTTTCTGGAGGAATACGTCATTCATGAGTAGGCAGAGCTCGAAAACGCCACGCACCACAGTAATGCCCGGCGGATGCTCTCGTTGCTACTTGTTGTCGCAAAGATAGAGGGTCCAGCATACACACGAGATATACTAGTACTCCAGCCTGCAAAACCTAGTCAGCAAGGCAATGGAAAAGCGAGTGTAACGCACCCTTCGCCCAACACTCAAGTCTGATAGAAGCAACAGGTCTGAACCCACAGGCTTCCGAGATGAACGACAAGAGAAAGCAGTCTTGGGTGGTTGGTCGATTGCTTGAAGGAGCTTATAGCTTGCTTTTTGCTCAGCCTTGTCCTCCCCTCTTATCGCCAGGCGTCTCGTCTCCTACGACCAGAGAGTTATCTGAAGCTCCAATGGCAACTGACTCCTCAGAAATTAAGGCCGGCTGACGATAGGCGAACAGCCTAGCAACTTGAAAAGAGTCAAAGAGGGAACGGTGCTAGCATGCGCCCACGAACCAAGGGTAGCGGCAACATCTTCCCTGGCATATTGACAGTTCAGAGGGAGTGGGGAGGATCAGAGCTGGAGCGCGGGCGAGAGACGAGAATCGTCGTTGTCAAAAAGAGGAAGCATTCCGCTGTGACTTGTCACTTCGGCATTTTCCATCCCGCGTTCATTGGTATTCTATTCGACTTCATATATCTAAGTACTTGAGATTGACATCCACGCAGAACGATCGTGTACTTGACATGGCTCCGCCCAACTCGGGTGCGCAAACCCTCACCGCTGCAGACGTGCTTCTCCTGCGTCAAGAGGCGGAGACAATCAACAAAACAACCACCGCGCTCAAAGCGCGGCTCATCCAGCTCGAAGACCGACAAAAGGCCATCCAAGACAAGCTTTCCACCCTCACCTTCCCCGTCCATACACTCCCCGCTGAGATTTTTTGCCATATTTTCCGTGCCACGCTGTCCTCGACAAACCCTCGAAACGTCAACGCCATGCTGCTCAGTATTACTGCGGTCTGCCAGCAATGGCGCCGGATTGCCATCGCCGACCCCAATTTATGGACCACGACCTGTTATTTTCTGCAGGGTCGTGATCACCGTGACTTAGACCTTGTTTCTCGTCACTTCTTGGAACGCACCCAAGGGCTCCCAATCACGGTTCACGTAGACGGATGTGGAGAAAGCTGGCTTTCACAGCCGCTATTTACCTCCTGCCGCCAGTGGAAGGAGGCCAGTTTCGTCGGGGCCGGCCTAGGACTTGATTCTGCTTCCATCGACAACGTATTGGATCTTCCACACCTCACAAAGCTCACCCTCGACCTCGGCTTCATCGTGGAATATCAAGAGGATCAGATACTATTCTCTAACGCACCGCTCCTTCGAGACTTGGCCATCAGCGATGCAGACATGATTTCCGGCTTAGGATTCCCAGTGCATCAACTGCAAAAACTAACTCTCCTCCATCCTCTGTCATTAGCACATCTCGTTACCCTGCTACCCCAGCTGGTGGCGCTCGAGGAACTCACTCTCTGGTATGACGACTCGGAGGGCGATGTCATTCAGCCCCCAGTCGAAATGCCTTGTTTGACGACACTACGTCTCTTTGGCCCTGAAAGCCCCACCATCATGGCCTATGTGCTGCTCCCGCGCCTCAGAAACTTGGAGCTCTCCAATTTGGACAGTTTCAGTTCTCTCATCCTAGGGTGTCTCTCGCGCTCCTCTGCCAATGTGTTTTCTCTATCAATTACAGACACCAACTATTCCCTGTTCAGCACCCTGCTGGAGACCCCGGTTATCGGCGATGCCCTCAGGGACCTCACGGTCGGCACGCTGAAGATGGAGCCCGGCGACAGCAACGCACTCGTTGCGCTTTTCTCTCGCGCGGACTTTCTCCCGAATATCGAGTCGCTCACTTTTGTCCCGTCCCCCGCGGTGCCGTCCTTGCCGTTTCTCCGCCCGTTTCTCGACGGCCTGGCCCAGCGGCTGGCGGACGCGTCCCTGCGCGGCGTCGCACATGAGATCAAGCTCCGCCGTCTTCTCGTCCAACCTTCCGAGTCTCCCGAAGCCCGGGCCGATGCTAGCAAGGATGATTTACGCGCACTGCACGATCTGCAGCAAACTTTGAGTTAGTATCGCTGGCTGACTGGCATGTCGTTAGTCTAGTCATCCGCATGCTTTCCGCATGCTTTTCATGACTTATGTAGTAGTACTAGTAAGCCTGAGCGTACACGAACGCCCACAATAAGAATGCACTGTATTAGTAGTCAGTGTCGTCGTTCGAATTCGCCATACTGCACTCTCCCTGAGCTGCTACAGGAAAGCGACGGTGTCCGTTTCTCAGGCTGGCGCGTCCTGTGCAATTTCTGACTGGATCAAATTAACAGCAATGCTTTTCCTACTGAGTTGATCTGATGTACCTCACTTTTGCCTTGAGCCTTCTCATCCGTTACCTGGCGTGGTACATTATATCAAAGTATGTGCAGCACTTGCGTGCAGTTCTACACCTAGTACACCTCGTACACCTCTGAGGTTATAATATGTCTCTTGCGCTAAACCTATTAGTATCATGTCATTTCTTCCAATCTTTGCTGCAGAGCACCCAACTCCCGCGCATCGTCGACGGAAATTGCATTCGGCGGGATGTGGGACTCTACAATAAGCCTTCTGAACTTGATGCTGCGTGGAACGACTGTGTCCGCAACCCGCTTGCCGAGTCCCTCGAGGAAAGGGCGGATAGTCCTAGAGGGCACAGCTATGGGAATGATCAGCGTCAAGGACACGAGGTCGGGGAGAAGGTCGTGGCGGGAAAAGGCGGCGACGACCTCCTGTTTGGTCTGGGAGGACATATTGGCCAGTGTCACAATCAGATGCTCGACCGCGAGCGTATCGAGGTCGGGGGGCGCGCAAGAGCGCGAGGAAGGACAGATCCTTGGGGTAAGTGAGGTAGACAGACAGTGTTGCCAAATTGGACAAAGAGCGGAGGATGCCGGGGCGAACGAGTACTTCTGCGTCAGTGTCTTCAAAGGTAGAGATACTGAGCGTTGCCAAGTGCGGCAGGTGTGTGTGCGCCAGAATAAGGCTGCTGCCCTTCCCGCGGAGCGACAATATGGACAGGGACTGTATGTCCAACTTATCGCGAGTGATATCTGTGCCGAAACGAGCAATGGGGCCGATGGACAGGTCTTCGACCGCATGCAGATGCGGGAGCAGCGCGAGAAGGTCGTGCAGCAAGATACGCTTATGTTCCAGGAGAGTTAACTTGCGCAGCTGTTGGAGGGGGAAACCGAGCTGGAGAAGGAGGTTTGGATAGGCGATGGAGACATCGCAGAGCCGCGGTGCGTTAGAGAACAATGAATGCTGCGATTCGGACCCCCAGTTTTTCACTACAGTCAGTTTTTCGAGATGGGGAAGGATCAGGGAGGATCCTGGGGCAAGAAAGTTGAACAAGAATCCCCCGGGGAAGGAGATATCGGCTTCTTTCCACTGAGAACACGATCTGAAAAAAGTCGGTGGCAACGAGAGACGGTCCCGTGGGTCAAGCGCAAGGGTTATCGGCAGGCCGTTACTGCGCTCCAGGAAGCGGTAAAATAGGCGGTCCTGGTCATGGTTGTCAAGCACATAGCACAATCTTGTCCAAATAACCGGTTCGGAGATGGCAACGTCTCGCCAGCGCTGGCAGACACCGGTAATGCTGAGAAGCACAGAGTTGACCTCCTTCAGCGGTGACAATGATGCCGCCGCCGCGAATATGTGGCAGAGCACCTCGGGAGGGAGGGTATTGACAGGATAGACGATGCAGGAGAGCTTCCCCTGAATGGTTTTGCGCTGGGCTTCGAGGCGGGCCAGCTCGGCTTCGAGGCGCTCGATTTCCTTGTCGATATCGTCTGCCTCTTGTCGCAGTTGTGCGATGTCGTCCTGAGCGGCGTGAGTCTCCATTGAGGGTGTAGAGTCCATGTGGGTTCCAGAGTTTAAATGCCTCGAATCGTAGTGGGAGCAGAAGGAAAGTGGGAATAGCCCGCCGATCGCGACGTCACATCTCTTCCTTCTTCCTCTTGACCACCACCTGGTGATCATACGCTCATTCATTTAACCGTGGTTCACCAATGTCGACCAAGAGGGGGGTATCCGGACTACGTTGCTCAAGTCCCGCCGGCTGACAAGGCACGTATCAGAGCTGGCCACAACCTTTGGCTTGATGACTGACACGTTTGCCAGATTCTAACAGGACGTACTTAGTACAGCTACTGTGTTGCTATCCATGGCTTCAGCTTCGCGGCCAAAGGCTTTCCGGAGGGCGAAAATGCGACTGCGCTCGCAGATGGAGTGGAGGAAGGACGGAGTGTATTGAGCAGGAGGTCCAAAACGTGGTGCGGCCCACGCGTCATTGTAGTGTGTCTGCCCCTTCTTCTTCTTCTCCTTTTCTCTCTGCTAACCGAAGTATTTCTCGACTCCAGACACTACCCGCACCTCTCGCGACCAGCTCCAAGGCTTCTGGTCGGATGCCTACTTTACCGTTCTTTCTTGCGACCAAACTCACTAACGTGGCTCTTGTATCCTCTTGGCTTTCGATGATGGGAGTTGAGTCCGACATTATTGCTGGGACCAAAAGTGCTGCAGGGAGGGGTAGGGGGTGCGTTCAGCGGCTACGATTGTGGCCTTTTGACTCATCATTTCAGTGCAGAAGTATGTCTGCGCTACGCTGCTCACAAGAGCAAAGATGTGAACAGCTTTGGTGCGTTGTCTCGTCTCGCTGTCAGGCACTATAGCTGACGATGTCTCCCAAGACAACTTTGAAACGCTGCTCCTCGCTCTTCAAATTTCATCCTCGCGAAAGCTACCCATCCAACTTTACACATGTCCTCCCTATCTTTCTCGTTCCGCGCACCGAAAACTGCCCCACAACTCCCCACTCCAAAGCCCACATTCCGAGTCAACTCCTTAGGCTTTTACCCATTCCGCCATTTCCGTTGTATAGACCAACTCTGTGGCATTCTCATGTGTCTCTACATCTGCGCCAGAACGATTTAATAGCACTATAGCTCCTCCATTCTACATCCGCGCCGAGCGGTCATCGTTTTCGTCGCCTTCCCTGCCGATATTCGTCGTTCACGCCGCCACGCGAGATACCGTTCTGTCGCGTATATATCTAGCTCAAATACACCACAATGGATCTATGTCAACATCTCAAACTTCAATGCCAGTGTGCCGCTGTTTACATGGCGATACAAGTCACGATTGGGTGATTCTATTATTATCAAGTTTTAACCCTGAATCTGTACGGATCCTCCCAGAACGCGCTCCACACTTTCACCCATCCGCTCTAACCTTTGCTGCAAAGTGCGCAACTCTTTCAAATCCTCGTTGGACATTTCATATGGCGATTTCTCTACGTCGACAAGGAGCTTTTTCAGCTTCATCATGTGCTGCTCCCCCGCGAGAAACAGCATCGGAAACGCGCGCATTGATGCCCACTACGAACGGGCGAAGGCGGTCGGAAATGGGCGCTGGAATGGTCAGGATTATAGACTGGAGATTGGGGAGGAATTCGGGCCTAGAAAACGCAAGTACGACATTTTGTGCGGTTTCTTCCCTCATGGGGGCAATGTCCACCGTCAGATGCTGGAGAGGAAGATTGATTTCGGGCGAAAGCAACAGCGCAGTGAGGGAGCTATCACGTTCGCTTTTGAGAGTGATCGTCAGTGACGCTAGATTCATCGCCGAGGAAAAGATTCCGGGGTGCGTGAGCATGGTTGCGTCAAAGTCACCGAGGTCAGAGAGACAGAGCTTGGAGAGGCGGGGGAGGCACACACGAGGCAAAATAAGACTACTGCCCTCCCCGAAGAGCGACAATGTGGTCAAGGACTGCAAGGTAATTTTTTCTGCTTCGATGATACCATCACCCGAGTCATCGGTTTGTAGGGGGATAGTCCCAATCGACAGATCTTGTAACGAACTCAGCTGGCGGAGCAGAACGCGGATGTCCTGACGCATGCTATGGTTTTGTATAGTGAGTTTGCGGAGCTGTTGTAGCGGAAATCCGAGCCAAGGGAGGAGGTGCGAGAAGCTGACAGAAACCGTGTGCAGTAGCGGTGCATTGGAAAATGCCTTGTAATAGTTCCCGGACGCAGATACATTGACCCAAAGGGAGAGTGTAACCGCTTCGAGATGCGGCAGGTTCAGGGCGGCGGCCTCATCAAGGCTGGTAACATCGAGTGAAGTGGAACTTGGAAATGCTATCGTGGCGTCTTTCCACTGGGAAGATGATCCAAAAAAGCTCGGTCGCCAGTTGACCGTACGACGGATGTCTTCGACTAGATTAAAGCTGATTGGAAGCCCTCGACTGCGTGCCAAGAAATGGCAGAAGAGCTGGTCCTCTTCCCCATGGGCGCCGGGAATATAACGTAGCCGTGTCCAGAGGGCCGGGTCCGCGATAGCAAGATCGCGCCAGTGCCGACACACAAGAGTAATGCTCAACAGCAGCGAGTTGATCCCTTGGGGTTGAGTTATCGATGCTGCCGCGCCGAATATGTGACAGAGCACTTCAGGGGGGAGGCTGTTGACGGGGTAGACCACACTGTAGAGCTTGCCCCGGATGGTTTCGCGCCGCGCTTCGAGCTCAACAAGCTGGGATTTCAAGCTGTCGATTTTATGATCGATCGTTTCCGCCTCGTAGCGCAATTGTACGATGCTTGCGTGAGGGACGTCAGATTCCATAGTGAGTGCGAGTATGGTCGATGTAGCGTCTGAACAGGCTTGTGGTGCGTCCGTGGAAGGGAAAGAAGAGTGATGAAATTCGCTGTCACATCCTCTTCCTCTTTCGTTTTGACCACCACCACCCGGTCATTATCCCCTGCCTCGCTGCATCTGACTCTTTCCCGTCAACTAATATAAGGATCGCTCGACACTGTCTATTTACTGCGCGGCGCGGTAGCTCAACAGGCCACATCTTTTTTTGCTTGTTGACCCGTCTGGCAGACTTCAAAAGTGCGACTACCCTATCCCGGAGACACTCTTGAATGGGCATCTGTGCAGGGGAGGCAGGCTCTCCGGAGAGTGAGGGCCCCAATTTGCTTCGTCCGGTGGCCATGGATAGGGCAAGGTTAACAATGAAGATGGGTTGACGGCAGGAGGAAATGCGGTATTCGGTGTGGCATTCCAGTGCGTCCGCCTTCTTTCATTTTGTCGGCGCCGAAGGGCTCATTATGCTGCAAACATGGCCCCATTTTCGCTCGCAGCTGGCTTCAGGGCTCCTGGCTGGACTTTCTTCCGACCAAACTCCCAGACTCGAGTTCAGCACAACTATCGTATTCTTTCGACCCACCATGGCGGGACTGGACTCTAAACTCGGAGTCTCGGACTCAAATTGGTGGTGGGATCAGCCAAATGTGTATTCAGGGAGTGAAACTATAACCTGTGTGTATATTCTTGTCTCGGTATAAGCTATTACTGTATGGCGCTCGAAACGGGGAAAAAATACCCCCAGGAGAGAAACCTGTATCCGCGGACTTACCTGTCACAATCCGAGAACTTTTGTCATTTTATATGACAATGTCTTGGAAGACTGAGTCCCGAGAACTTGAACCTTCCGACAACTTGGCATTCCGAGACATGGGAGTGACTCCAGACAACTTGTCTTCCGACAACTCAGCAATGTTGAAGATGTGATGCCCAATATTAATTGCAATATATTATTAAAACAATCAGGGAGGAATCTACCTCAGGCTAGTCTTCATGTGCAGTGTACTAGTAGCACTCAGATTGGGCAACAAATAACTAGCATAATGCATAATTATCCACATTACCTTTAGTAATAAATTAGTATAAAATTTATCTGTACAATCTATTGATAGACTGATATTTATATCACAACTAGACAGGGGCCTAGGGCTGGGGCTATGCCCCAGCTTTGAATATTACTGGAACAAAGTGAATTTTCAATGAAAAAAATCCCACTAATTATAGAGCTAGTCTTCACTGTAGTACTGTAGTAATTAGACCACAAGTTCACATAATGTGTAATTGGGCCAAGAAAACATAGTGTTAAAATTCAGCTACAATGATAAGAAAATTTCTCAGCTCTCTCAGGCATGGAAGAACTTAAAATTGATGAACCTATGGTCTAATTACTACAGTAGTAGCACTTAGATTTGGCAACAAATCAATGGTAATGCATAATTATCCACATTACCTTTAGTAATCATAAATTAGTATAAGACATTTATGGACTGGTATTTCCATTGCAATTAATACATAATTTTCCATGCTACCAGTATAAAATGTTTACAACTTAAAACAATTTATACTAATATTTCTTTTTGTGTAGTCACCCACTTTAAGCACCTGTAACTCCCTGTATCCTTCATGAACACCCTCCCATTCATCTGGTAGATTTCCCCTCTATAGTATTGGACCTAGCAACTTTTTTCTTCTTCAAGTTCTGCTTCTTCTTCCCTTCAACTGCCAAATGCACTCTTCCAAAAAAGGCAAATCACCAATAAATGCCAGAAAATCTAAGAATGCAAAAGGTTTTTTAAGCTGGAAACATTGTATGCTGGTAGCAGGGATAATGATGTATTGTTCTGGGTCATTAGAGCCAAATCCACCAAGAAATGCTAAGTATGCTATTCATTTATTGTCAGATCCATCAGAATAGTAGCAGACTATACTTGCTATTCATGAATGTGTCTTTGATCGATGTATAAGTATACTTCCTTAATAAAACTTATATTTCTTGTACAAACTTATCTTATGATGTACTGTACTCCTAGTTTGCAGAGAATGACACAATGCCATTAATAGTGCTGAGTTGTCGGGAGCGATGAGTTGTCGGGATTGACAAGTTCTCGGGAGTGACAAGTTGTCGGTGAATGACATAGCAAGACTCCGGGGCAAAAATAGCCCACATTTCTCGCAAATGTCAAAGGGGTGCAGAGTTTCTCCTCGGAGACCAGTCTTTCTTCTCGGGGTATTTTTTCCCCGTTTCGAGCGCCATAATTACTGACGATACTTATCTCCCAGAAAATTTCGAAACTCTACGGCGGTTTGGAGTTCACAGTTTACTTCCAAACTGTGTCTTTGCCACTTAAAATTACCATTCAACTCCATTTACCCACTCATTCCGCGCACACAAGACGACCACCACGACACTTACCTGCATCCACCCATTTCCTTTTTTGATTTCCCAATTTTACCATTTGGCGGACCAAGTCTGAGGTGTCTCTCCCTCTGTGCTGTCATAATTCAATGCCATCCTCATCCGTTACTCCTCCATTTGCACCGGGTTATCCTTTTTGTCGTTTCTTTGGTACTGTTCTACGCGAGTAAATGTCCTCCCTCAACTTCCCGTTGTCGACCTGTTTCGTCGGCGGTAGCCACTCTTCCTCCGCGTCTTGTGTGTTATAGCTACACAATAACTTTTCGATTACACAGGATCTTGGCGAAGACAATGTTGCTTTCTCCGATACTCACTGTCATACACGTACTTACTTATTCTTCTCTTCTTTTTTGAAATACTTGGTTGTTAGAAAAGTTGAGCAGACTCGGAGACTTCGAACTACTTGGGACATGATGACGTCTCCCGATGCGATTCTAGCTTTATATTATTCAGAACATTTGCCTTACTAGTAATCTGTGCTGTAGAGCACTTAATTCAAGCATATCCTCGCCACTAATGGCATTCGGCGGCGTCTCCGATTCAACAAAAAACTTTCTGAGCTTCATTGTATGCTGGGATTCGCGGGCCCGGGAGACAGCGTCGGCCACGCGTCTGCTAATACCGGCCACAAATGGGCGGACGTTGTGCGAGGGAACCGACACGGGGACGATGAGCGTCATAGACTCGAGATTGGGGAGAAATTCAATGCGGGAAAATGCAGCGGCAACCTCCGTTTTAGTTGCGGTCGGCATATCGGTGAGCGTCACCGTCAAATGGGCGTTCTGGCTTGTACAGGGAGCTTGTGACATCACGTGCCTTTCCCTTACCTCGGGTCCCCGATCCATTGTTCGATCCATTGTCCGCCCCGTTTGGTACAAGTTTGGTAGGTCACGATAGATCTTGGAGAAATAAAAAAGTCTTTTTATGAATCTAATCTAAGTGGCCACATACAACTGCTGCCTCTTGATTGACCCCAGCCTAGATAGACTATCATTATCATCATTCTCAGCTACTATACATGGCGGGAGTAGCTACCACACCACCACAAATTTAAAATCTTCAATATCCTCTGTAGCCACCTACACAATCCTGCTCTGCCCTACGCTGGCAAGGCAGGGGATGCTATTGGGCAAGAGCTATGAGCGCCATTGCCAAGCACTAATGGAGGGGTGAGAGCGGGGTGCAGTGACGAGCAGGTGGGGCACGGGTGGGGGCAGCGAGCGCGACAAGCAGGTGGTGGCAAGAGCAGAGGTGCAATGGAGCATTGTTTGTTTGCATTGTTCGCTGACAGTGTGTCAATCATCGATCAAATGATCGGATAGTGTGACATGATCCCTGTACAGGCCAATAAACCCGTCAAATGCTGAACCGACAGATCGATGTCGGGAGAGTGTAGCCGGCAGAGGGCGGCGAGGGAGAGGTCGTGGTCGTTCTGGCGACCTCCCGGGGTTATTTCCAGGGTGTTTAAGTTGGTAAAGGAGCGCAGGAGTCCTGGGCGGGCGAGCAGGGTCGCATCGAAAGAGTCGAGGCAGGAGAGATGAAGTTTTGCGAGACGGGGGAGGCGCACACGGGACAAGATGAGGGTGCTTCCCTCCCCAAGGAGCGACAAGGCTGTCAAGGACTGCAGGTCAAGCATCTCGCCAATGGTAGTACCATCATCGTCCACGTGGCCGATGGGCCCAAGCGATAGCTCCTCCAGCGTGCTCAGCTGTGGGAGCAGAGCAAGAATGTCGGGAAGCAGGCTGCGGTAAATTATGGTAAGTTTGACTAGCTGGTGCAGCGGGAAACCAAGCTGATTGAGAAGCTTCGAAAAGCCGACAGATAGCGTGCGGGAGCCGCGGGGCATTGGAGAATGCCCGTTGCTGCTGGTGCCCACTTTTTGTCCAGAGGAAGACCGTCAGCGTTTCGAGGTGCGGGAGGGACAGTGTCGGACCAAAGATCGAGAAGTCAACTGCGGCACCTCCAGGACATATGATATTGGCGTCTTTCCATTGTACACACGACCCAAAGAAGGTGGGTGGCAGCATGAGACAGTTGCGATCGTCCAGAGTCATGGTGATCGGAAGCCCTTGGCTGCGTTCTATGAAACAGCTAAAAAGGCGGTCGTCTTCACCCAGATTTCCGGGAGCATAACATAGACGTTGCCAGACAGTCGGGTCGGCGATGGCAACATTGCGCCAGCGGCGACACACTGAAGTAATGTGCAACAGCAGCAAGTTGACCTTCTTGTGTTGAGTTAACGCTGCTGCTGTGACGAATACGTAGCCAAGCACTTCAGGAGGGAGGGTATTGACGTTATAGACCACGCTGGAGAGTCTGACCCGGATAGTTTCGCGCCTTGCTTTGAGTTGGGCCAGCTGGACTTTCAAGTGGTCAATTCTCTGATCCAGATTATCCGCCTCTTGGCGCAGTTGTCGGATATTTTCATGAGTGTTGTAAGAGTGCATCGAGACCCCAAGTGTAGTCGACATGGATTCCCGACGAGCCAGTTTCCTGGGAGAAGGTGGAAGTGTAGGACAACGAGCAAGGCCAATGTCACACCCAATTCCTTCTTCGTCTTAACCACTACCGTCTGGTCACTATCCTCCGTCATCAGGCTCGGTTTCTCGGTTCTGCACATATTTCAGGACTTCTGGACCCTGCTACATCCACCCTGTTGGTTTGTGAAGCGCTCGCGCAAGTATTGGATCTCGCCATAGGTTTTTCGCCTGCTGACATGTTTGTCAGACTCCGAGAGGACAGCAAAGCGAGGTTCTCAGTCTCTTGCCAAGGCCATTAGATGCACGTTGTGTGGATGTGAAGCTCGAGTTTATTGTCGCACGGATTGGTGAAGGGGCAACCTGCGCGGGCAATCAGGAAACGGGGGAGGAAGCGGAGCAAACCGCTACATCCAATTTGACCTGTGGGTCCCTCGGGTACGTCTGCCCCTTTGATTGTCGCTGCTCAGTGCTAATGACTATGTAGGCTACGCTCTTCCATAATATCCGCTTGCCGTGCTGGCGCTTCCAATCGTGCAATCCTTCTTCATAACAAGAGGTTGCAGCGAGAGCCGGCTGAGCATGCTATCGTTCTCTCGCCCTCCTCCATGGTGGATACCAGGTCATTCCTGGAATACGAGCCAATCAGTGCGTTCATTGGACGATTCTCATACTGTCTACAAATCCTGACGACAGCCTTTTGGTTTGGACCTAGTTTTATCGTTCTGGCTCTTTTGCCACTCTCAAGCAATCCGTGGACTGTATGGGGTTTCCGCTCCCCCACCAGCCGATACATCCATCTCTCCGACTTCCTGATTTATCCCATACGCGTCGCTCGTCGCTAAGGACCAAAAAGCACAAGCAAAAGAATGAAGAAACATCCACCCTCCAACACTTGTACTTTCGACACGCTCATTGTCTCCGACGCCTCTCATAAACCCCCCGCCAGCCCTGTTTGCCATCTCACCCGCCCTCATCATCGAAATGGCTGGACGATGTCCTTTTCTCTCGTCTTTTGTCGCGTCACACTCGTGACTGTCACGCTGTCAGTAAAGCGATCTTCCATGTCCACATATGCTCCACATACGACTCTATCGACCGTATTTCCTGGTGCAGGACACCTCCATGGTCGCGAAAGATTTGTTTCGTTCTTCGATTTCGGACGGGAAGGCTCTCGTCGAGCGCTTTTTTGTCGCTGGTCGCTTCTCAGCAAAGTGGACCCGTTCTACGAGTAATGCCGCTGGAGCTTGGTGGGGTGTATCTCGTCCTTGGGAGGGACCTTGTGGTGCAACAGCAACTCCGTATGCAACCATATGGGTGCTGGAACGTCATCCAACGCTGACATTTGGCCGCGGGACACGGAATAAACGTTGTTTTGCTAGCCTGCGGCCAATCTCAGGCTGGACATATAATGGAGGAGCATGCTGGCTTCGAGCCCTGAATGCGCGGAGCATGGTGAAACGCAAGAAAACTAGCACACTAACACAAACAAACTCCAACACAACACACTAAATCAGCACACAAAACACAACAGAACACAAAACCAGGGAGCCTAACACCAAAGTACACGGGCCGAGTCTCGGATCACTCGGATCAGACCGGATCAGAAGCGGATCACGTCGGAGTTTGAAATGGGTGGGGTAGTTAACTGATGCGCGCAAGTACGGGGGTTCCAGCTAAAGTATATAGCTGCTGCAATCCAGAAAACACGTTTAACGGCTCGGAACGATAAGGGTGGAGTGATTAGGTAAGCGAAACAACGGGCGGGACCAAGATCAACAGTGGGCGGGAAGGCGGGACGGCGGGCGGGCACTCGGAACAACGAGGCGGACTGACAGAACTTCTTCAACACAAACGGCGATAACGGAAACGGCGATAACGGCGACAAAAGATAACAACGGCGATAACCAAAATAAACCCGCGCAGAGCCGGGCACTCGTATTCTCTGTCCTTACTGGTACAAAAGCTGCAATTATATACCTCTAGGCGCACTGCCCGCTCACTGCCCTCCAGCCTGCGCAGGCCGCTATCTGGCCTGTGCCCGCAGCGCACACAGCGCGTACAGCGCGTCCTCTAACGCATATCGCCCTCCGGCTTACCCAATCTTGCTTACGAGCTTGGGCCGCTCGGTCCACCAGCGGTTGGCAGTGTTCTGGACGCGCCTCGACGCGGCTATGCCGGTACTTTGTACTCCGGACGCCCTCTGGCGTCGTCCCGACTTGCCAGACGCGTGCTGGACGCGTCCCTAAGGCCCCCAAGGCCTCCTCTTGGTGTCTTGTCGCTTGAGGCGGAACGGAGCTCGGGTCGGAGCTCGGTCCGGCCTGTCAACCCGATCGGGAAACACCGCCCCGGGCCGGCGCTTGCCAGCCAAAATGGCGCATGCCCGATTGTAGTGGCTATGGTCGGGCTGTGGGGCCCGATTCCAGGCGTGCGCGAATCTCGCGCGCGTCAATGGTTGGACAGTTGGGTTGCAGAGATTGCCGGAGAACTTGGTGAGAATGACCGTTTCGAGATTTCTTTCTTTCTTTCATCATTTTATGCTACTGCTCTTGACGGGCTCGTATACATTATCGTCTTCAACGCCTTCAGATGGGACTCGTTATTCGTAGTACGATAACTTCAAATACCTTCTAAACCTGACGCTTACAAGTTCGTCGTATTCGAGTCTTTATGTCTTCTTCGCCATACATTCATTGTTTACCACGTAAGTGGACTCCGCTTCGTTCTTACTTTATTTGCTCAATTTGAAGAAAGCTGACAGAAAAACATCCATACGGCTTCGACTATCCTCTTCCCCCCAAATCTGTTAGCTCCGAATGGCACCTGCGACCCCCCTCGTTCCTGCTCTTCTACTCGCTCCCCGTCTTCTGTGATGCTTGAAGAGGGGCAGCATAACGGGCAGGAATAGACGGAAGTGTACTGTGCTCTCAGCATCTTGATAACTTTTCACCACTACATGCAATTGCAATCAGTACTGTAATATATGTTGAATATATCGGCACTAATTGCACAATTTACAAAACCTGCTGCATCTGTGTGCATAGAAAGTCAGTCGGCAAGATGTGGCTCTAAATACTAGTAAGTAGGCGCACCTCAGGCTTCCCCGGAAGCTTCCCGATCACGGGCACCTAATCGCCTCAGACGCCAGCACCCCATCGTCGACGTAATACGCCGCGTCAGCCGGCGCTCCTTGTCTCCTCCCTCACCATGCAGCTCGCCATCCCCATATTCTCGGCGCTCTTGGTCGCCCTAGCCCACAACGCCGCTGCTACGACACCGCAAACGCCCCTGCAATACAGGCCCAGCTCTTGTTCGCCCACGGGCTTGGAACTTGGAGGCGCAAAAGCGCTCAGCGAGTGGTCGTGGGTCGATTGTGGTGAGCGCTCAGACCCTAGCCCTGAATTGCTGCTTAGTCCTGATCCACCAACACGGTCGCAGGCACAGAAACGGATGTTGTCCACCTCCGCTCGCTGGACATCTCCCCCGACCCGCCCGTTCCAGGCAAAGAGCTGACCGTGAAGGTCAACGGAACGGTCGAGCGACGCGTCGAGGTGAGTCCGGCTTCAATTGGCGCCAAAACCCTTAGACCCCCGTAGGACGGCGCCTGGGTCGATGTGGTCGTCAAGATCGGGGTAATCAAGCTCCTTGCGCGAAAATTCGACATCTGCGAGGAGGCGTAAGCTGCTCCAGCCTCGACTGCCCGGGCCGTGCGCTGACTGAACAACAGAGAGAACGCCAACGCCACCGTCCAATGCCCCGTCGAGAAAGGCGAATACGCGGTCACGCAGAGTTTCGACCTGCCCAAGGAGATTCCCCCAGGTGATTCTCTCTGTTGTCGTATGGAACTGGGGCTGACGACTTTCTAGGGAAGTTTACGGTGCTTCTCCGAGGCTACACCGTCGAGGACGAGCCCATGTTTTGTCTCGACATTGTCGCGGATTTCCGGCACCGAAAGTGAAGGCGCGCCAATTCCGATAGAGAAGACAAGTCATCATTGTGAACAGCTCGCAAGGAAGAAGGTACACATGAGATAATGTGTGAGACGAACGCGTAAAGTATCTTCGTCCGGCATGTATTCAGCCAGCATGAACCTATTACTCCCAAAACTGGAAGAAAGGCCGGAACTGCACCGTCAGGTCCACACACGCCATGCTGTCCTCCTCCACAGTGAAGCCCCGCACGCTGATGACGTATTTCACTGCGAAAGCAAGCAGGTCAGTTTCGCGAAGACAAGTCGGAAACAGCGGCGCACGTTTGGGCACCTCCTTCGGCAACGTGACTGTCTGCTCGATGGTGTGGAGGCCGGGCGTGACGGGACAGGAGATGGAGGCATTCGCCTTGCGGCTAGGGAAAAGATGAGTGTGGGGTTTTGTGGAGTTAGGTACACGCACGCTTCCTCGCAGAGGTCGAATGTCTGCTCCAACAGCTTGATCCGGCCGACCTTGACGAGGACATCCGCCGTTGCGCCCTCCTGGAAACAGTCTGGCGTCAACGACCCGCCACGAGGCGCAGCGGCCCACGCACCTCAATCGTCTCCTTCACGTCCGCCACGATGGTGACCGTCAGGTCGGCCCCGATCTTCGGCGGGTCGGGGGACACGGTGATAGACCGTATCTGGACCGCATCCGACTCCTCTCCTGCGAAAAGACGCTGTGAGAAGACGGTCCGTGTGTTCCGTGGCTTATCACGCACCGCAGTCCGAGTATTCCCAGCTGTCTGGCGCGGTCTGGACGTTCCCGAGAGCCAGCTGTGACTCTGGTAGCGCGACAGCGAAGGCCGCGAGGCTGGCGAGGAGCATGACGGCGAGCGAGCGTCGTAACATGGTGGTCGAAAAGAGGAATGAGTCCGAGTGACGTCGGTTACTTATGTCATGGGGAAAAGTCTTGGCTTGGAGAAAAGGCATTCAAGTTCGAAGCGACTGCAAGGACTGCTCTTACAGGCCAGGTTGCGCTTGCGTGGCTCCTCGCGCAGGGCAACGAGGTCATCCCAATTCCTGGGACGAAGAAGACCAAGGTGCTGAGTTTAACTACTTTGGTGGGCGGTTGACTTACCAGCTGTCGTTTAACAGTCATTAGTAGAGCATTCAGGCAGGCAGCGTCGCGTTGTCAGAGAAAGACCTCGCTGCGGTGCGGGAGTCGGCGGTGCAGGCGGACAAGGCGGGCGCAGATGCGGGGCCGCGGTACCCGCAGGCAATATGGGAGCGAATGTTTGTTGATACGCCGGCGTTGTGGGAGGGAGTTGATGTTGGGGCGGACAAGGATTTAAGAGAAGTATCATTGAAAAGTGGTCAGTACCCTTGAATTTCTGGTAGCAGTCAGAAGCATAGCTGCAGCATGACAAGAATATCTGGACCTATTGTAAGGAGTTGTGCCGAACCAACTTGAAGGCTTCGAAGACGAGGAGGAAATGAGTCATAAGTAGGTAGAGCAAGGGGGTAGATAAACGTGGGTAAACGAGCGAAAAGTAGGGGCAAATAATCCACACAACGATCTTCTTGGGCAATCTCAACAACCCAGCTGCCCACCTATCCCTCGCGCATTCAAGCCCCCAAACCAGCGGACCCCTCGATAACGTGTTCATACAATCACCAGGCCAGTATATCAGTGCCCCCGCCCAAGTTCGGACGTTGAAGGCCATTCGAGCACGCATATGGTTGCATACCAAGTTGCTGTTGCACCGAAAGGTCCCTCCCAAAGACGAGATACACTCCACCAAGCTCCAGCGGCATGTCTCGCAGAACTCGGGGCCGCTTTACCAAGATGCGACCAGCGACGAAAAAGCGCTGGACGACAGCCCTGCCGTCCGAGATCGAAGGACGAAACAAATATTTTGTGACCATGGAGGAATCCTGCAACAGGAAATACGGTCGATAGAGTCGTGTGTGGAGCGTATGTGGACATGCAAAATCGCTTCGCTGACGGCGTGACAGTCATGGATGTGACACGAGAGGAAAAGACGAGCGAAACGGATATTGTCCAGCCATTTCGATGGTGAGGGCGGGTGAGATGGTATGAGGGGGGTGGCGGGGAATGTATGGGAGGTGTCTAAGACAGTGAATAACTTGGTCATGCCGGAACTAAGTTTTGGAGGGTAGTTGTTTCTGCATTCTCGAGATTTGGTCGTTCTTTTTGGTCCTTCGCCAGCTATAGATCAGGGAGTCGGAGAGACGTATACCGTAGGGGTCGCGCAGGATGTATTGAATGGTAGGACAGCGGAAACCCCATAGCCCATGGATTGCTCGAGAGTGGCAAAAGAGCCGGGGCCCGGAACGATAAAACTAGGTCCAAACAAAAAGGTTGTCGTCAGCACTTGTGGACAGTATGAAGATCGTCCAGTGAACGCACTGTCCGGCTCGTATTCCAGCAATCTTTAACGATGAATGACCTGATATCCACCGTGGACGAGAGCGAGAGAACGATAGTGTGCTCAGCTGGCTCTCGTTGCAACCTCTCGTTATGAAGGATTGCACGATTGGAGGCGCTAGCACGGCAAGCGGGTATTCTGGCCGACATGGCGATTAGCACTGAGAAGCCACCATCAAAGGGGCAGACGTACGCGAGGAACCCACAGGTCGAATGGGATGTAGCAGTTTGCTCCGCTTCCTCCCCCATTTCCTTATTGCCCCTTCGCTAATCCGTCCGAACAACACGTTCGATCGCCGCATCCACACAGCACTTCACGGCCATGGCAAGAGACTGAGAACCTTGCTTTGCTGTCCTCTCTAGGGCTCCAACCATTTCCATTTGTAAATATTTACAAATGGTAATAAACATTTAAACACCCATTTATTTGTGAACATGGGCAAACATAAATTAAATACAAATAAATAGTTCAAATGGTTTTCACTCCAAACACACCCAAATCGATCTCAATAGTGTGGTTTAAGTATCTTTGAACCTTAGAAACATTTACACTCATTTTAGAACCAACATTTCATCATTACAAAGTTTATATTTACAACTCCTCCTTAGCACTGAGCTGCATTTGATCTTTGATAATTTGGTGATATAATCAATAGGAAATATACTTTGCATTGAAAGGGACTATTGCAGCTTGAATGAACATATTTCTCATTGGTAGATGCATATATGGCAAAATTTGTCAACAGACAGCTCAATTTTACTTGATGGGAAGAAACCATTTACAAATAGTTTTAAACATTTATTACTGTTTGTATTTGTGTTTCTATTTTATTTGAAAATTTCACAAACAGAAATAAAATAGTTGGAGCCCTAGGACTCCTCTCGGAGTCTGACAAACACGTCAGCGGGCGAAAAACTTGGTCCACACATCCTGCAATGAGTGCCAAAAGGAGAGATACAGCCTGAGGACGGGGATGGTGACCAGAGGTGATGGTTAAGACGAAGAAGTAATTTGGTTGTGACATTGGCACTTGCTTGTCGTCCTACACTTCCACCTCCTCCTCCGAAACTCGTTCGTCGGGAATCCATGTCGATGACACTTGGAGTTTCTATGGAATCTGACAGCACTCATGAAATCATTCCACAACTGCGCCAAGAGGCGGAAAGTCTGGATCGGAAAATCGGCAACTTAAAAGTCCAGCTGGCCCAACTCGAAGCAAGGCGCGAAACTATCCGGGTCCAACTTTCCACGGTGGTCTACAATGTGAACGCCCTCCCTCCTGAAGTGCTTGGCCACGTATTCGTGACATCAGCAGCGTTAACCGAACACAAGGAGGTCAACTTGCTGCTGTTGAGCATTACTTCGGTGTGTCGCCGCTGGCGCAATGTTGCCATCGCCGACCCGACTGTCTGGCAACGCCTATGTTATGTTCCCGGAAATCGTGGTGAAGATGACCGCCTTTTCGACTGTTTCGTAGAACGCAGCCGAGGGCTTCCAATTAGCATCACTGTGGACGATCACAACCGTCTCATGCTGCCACCCGCCCTTCTTAAGTCGTGTGCACAATGGAAAGACGCCAATATCATATTCCCTGGAGGTGCCGCAGTCGACTTTTCGATTCTTGACACGACACTGTCCCTCCCGCACCTCGAAACGTTGACGATCTTCCTCTGGATAAAAAGTGGCCATGGGCACCATCAGTGTGCATTCTCTGAGGCGCCGCGGCTCCGCACATTATCTGTCGGCTTTACGCACCTTCTCCATCAGCTTGGATTCCCACTGCAACAGCTAGTCAAGCTTACCATTTTGTACCACAGCCTTCCCCACGACATTCTTGCTCTGCTCCCTCAGCTTAGCACGCTCGAGGAGCTATCACTCGGGTCCATCGCCCACGTCGACTATCATGGCACCGTGGGCGAGATATTTCACTTGAAATCCTTGACGGCTTTGTCGCTCCTCGGGGAGGGCAGCACCCTCATCCTGCCCCATGTCCGCCTGCCCCGTCTCGTCAAACTCCATCTCTCCTGTCTCGACTCTTTCGACGTAACTCTGCTCGCCCGCCCCGGACTCCTGCGCTCCTTTACCAACTTGAGCGCCCTGGAAATAACCTTACGGGGTCCCCAGCGCGACCACAACTCGGACGTCTCACTGTCCGGCCTCTGCAAGCTGCACTCTCTGGACATCGATTTGCCGGTTCAGCATCTGACGGTAACCCTCGCCGATATGCCCACCACGACCAAAACGGAGGTTATCGCTGCATTTTCCCGCCCCGAATTTCTCCCCAATCTCGAGTGTCTGACGCTCATCGTCCCCATGTCCGTTACCTCGCAAACCGTCCGCCCATTTGTGGCCGGTATTAGCAGACGCGCGGCCGACGCTGTCTCCCGCGAAACCCAGCACGCAATGAAGCTCAGAAGGTTGATTGTCGAATCTGAGAAACCGCCAAATGCTATTAGTGGCGAGGATATGCTTGCATTAAGTGCTCTACAGCACAGATTACTAGTAGGGTAAATGTCCTGGATAATATAAAGCTGGAATCACATCGGGAGATGTCCTAGAATTCGATGGAGATGGAAGTCTGAGTCGGCTCAACTTGAAGAGTTTCGGACAACTCAGTATTTCAAAAAAAAATAAGAGAACCAATAAGTACGCGTCTGAAAGTGAGTACTAATAGTAGCGGAGAAAACAGCATTGTCAAACTCGCTGAGATCTCGTGTAATCGAAAAGTGATTGTGTAGCCTAAGTAGTGAAAACACAAGACGCGGAGGAAAAGTGGCTACCGCCGATGAAACAGGTCGACAATGGATTGACATTTACTCTGGTAGAAGAGTACCAAAGAAACGACAAAAATGATAGCAAAGGGTGCGAATGGAGGAGTAGCGGATGAGGATGGCGTTGAATTGCGATGGCGCGGAGGGATAGACAGCTGAGACTTGAAATGGTGACATAGTAGGTAAATGGGTGGAGGCGGGTCTGTGTCGCGGCCGTCTTGTGTGCGCGGAATGAGTGGGTAAGTGGAGTTGAATGGTAGTTTAAGTGGCAAAGACACAGTTTACAAGGGAACAGCGAACTCCGAACCGTAGAGATTCGACGTTTCCTGGGAGATAAGTATCGTCAGTGGTATGTAATGGCTCATATCGAGAGAAGAATACACACAGCTTATAGTTTCCCTCCATGAACACAGATTTTGCTAATCCCACCAGGGACTTGGAGTCCGATTTTAGAGTCTAGTCCTGCCATGGTGAGTCGAGAAAGTACGATGGTTGTGCTGGACTCGACTTTGGTCGGAAGAGAGGACGAGACGGCAAGGTTCTCCGCCAGGAGCGTTAGAGCGAGCCACGAGCGGAAATGGGCCGTGTCTGCAGCATAATGAGCCCATCAGCGCTGGAAAGATGGAAAAGGCGGACGCACCAGAATGATGACACAAAAGCCACACCGATAACCGCGTTTTCTGCTGCAGTCAACCCATCTCCGTCATTGACCCTTGCCCTATCCACCAGACTACACGGGTTGGAGCTCTCACTCTCCGGAGAGCCGGCCTCCCTTGCACGCAAGTCCATTCAACAGTGTCCCTGGGATTGGGTAACCGCACTTTTGAAGTCTGCCAGAGGGGTCAACAAGCAGAAAAAGATGTAACCTGTTTAGATACGCGCCATCGAGATAGACAGTGTCGAGTATGAGTTGACGGGAAAGAGTCAGAGCCAGCTAGGAAGGGGATAATGACTGGTGGTGGTGGTCAAGACGAACGAGGAAGACGATGTGACATGGAATGTTATTACTCTTCTTCCCCCTCCACGACGCTGTCCAGAAGCTACATCGGCCATACTCGCGCCCACTATGGAATACGAGGTCCCTCACGCAAGCATTGCACAACTGCGCCACGAGGTGGAAGAGATTGGCAATACAATCGACAGCTTGAAATCCCAGCTTGTCGAGCTCGAAGCGCAGCGCGAAGCCATCCTGGACAAGCTCTCCAGCGTGGTTTACCCCGTCAATAGTCTCCCTCCTGAAGTGCTTGGCCGTATATTCGGCGCGGCAGCATCGTTAACTCCAGCCAAAGCGGTCAACTCGCTTCTGTTGCGCATTACTTCTGTGTGTCGGCACTGGCGCGACGTTGCCATTGTGGATCCAGCCCTGTGGACAATCCTGTCCTACATTCCGGGTCCCCACGGGGAGCAGGACCAGCTCTTCAACTATTTCGTGGCTCGCAGTCGAGGGCTTCCAATCAGCTTCAATCTAGACGGACTCGCTAAAGTGTACTACCAACCAAGCTTTTTTGGGTCATGTTCGCAGTGGAAAGACGCTACGATAACACTTCCAAGTGGCGCCGCATTCGATGTTAAGAGCCTAGATGAAGTCGCTGCCCTGAACTTGCCGCAGCTTGAAGCGATTACACTCTCCCAAGTTTGGGTCCATATATATGCATCCGAGAACTATTACCAGACGTTTTCCAATGCACCATTACTCCACACAGTGTCTGTCAGCTTCTCGCACCTCCTTCCTTGGCTTGGATTTCCGCTGCAACAGCTCCGCAAACTCACCATACAGAACCATAGCATGTCTGAGGACATTCGCGTTCTGCTCTGCCAGCTGAGCTCGATAGAAGACCTGTCGATTGGGCCCATTGACATCCCACAAATCGATAATCATGGTGTCGAACTTGAAGAAAAACTTACTCTACAGTCCTTGACCACATTGTCGCTCTTTGGGCAGGGCAGTAGTATGATTTTGCTTCGCGCACGCCTACCCCGCCTCTCCAAACTCCATCTCTCCGACTTGCATCGCTTTGACGTAACCACGCTCACCCACCCCGGAACCCTGCGTGCCTTGACCAATCTCGCATCACTGACAATCACGCTCAAGCACGAACGTGATCGCTCCCAAGCCGCGCTCTTGCTCTCTCCAGACGTCGATCTCCCTCTCCAGCATCTGACCATCACTCTCGCTCCCCTGTGGAGAGAAACTGAAAATAATGTTGTTGACATGTTTTCCAGCCCCGATTTTCTCCCGGATCTAGAGTCATTGACGCTCATCGTTCCGGTGTTCATTTCAATCATGATTCGCCCGTTCATGCTGGGAATCAACGCGCGCGTAGCCAATACTGTCTCTCGCGGGGTGCATCACAAGATGAAGTTAAAAAAATTCATTGTTGATGTACAAAAATCGCCATATGCACTATCCGACGAGGAGTCGCAAGAGTTGCACACTTTGCAGCGGAAATTAGAGCAGATGGGTGATAGTATGGAGGGCCTTTAGGGAGAATTAGTACCGTATACTGCATACACTGGCATCATATCACAACAGAAACTTGTGAGTTGAAACTTTATAATAAGTTTATGTACACTGGCAAAATAGCACGACCAAAGTAGCTTATACGGAGCTTGTATTCAGCATGTGCACTAACATACTCCTAAGTAGATGCTCTAGTTAATCATTCTCATCTGACATATCCTCGGACTTGGCCACTTCCTCGACTTGCTTGATTACCTGAGCCTTTGCGTCATCGGGATCAGGTCCCATAGTATACTGCACTACGATTGTAGCATGCTCTGTCTTGTAAATGACACAACCAATATCCTGTTGCACAGACATGAGTCAGCCGCAGGCAAGCATGGTTGAATCGTGACTGGACCACGTGCCAGTGCATACCAGTAGTACGTACTTTGTCGTCATCCCCGCTTATCCCAGTGAACAATTTGTCCCTCTGTGGCGAGACCGTGAACGATTCCATCCCAAGAGACATTGACAGATTCCTAGGGTCCTCCAGCGACTCCCATTCTTCAGTGTTGGCCTCAATCCACTCGGTCATAAAACTCCGTTCAAACGGACTCAACTGCAGAGCATCATGATTTGTGTTAGCCACTGCCACTGGCGGCGAGGAAGACATACATCATAGTCCTTGCTGGCGGCACTGTCAGGGGAACCTCCCTTTCGGCCCGGAATCGACCCGATTCCGACTCCGGTGATCGCATCACCGCCATCAATCGCATCACCGCCCCCCGCCTGGCGATCCCCCTGGGACCTGGCCTGCGACATGGCGCAGGCATACTGCACGGAGCAACGATCAACCTTGGCGCGTCAAGAGCGCAGTATATAGTTCAGCTACCTAGCAGGCGGACCCTTAGAGTTTCTTCTCTTTGGATCCTCCCCTGCTAGGTCAGCTTCCTTTGTATTTGCTTACTGTTATTCACTCTTTGGATCCTCCCCTGCTAGGACCTTGATCTCAGGCCTCCGGGGTTGCCCTTACAGCAGAAGAAACTCTCTACGGGATCAACCGGACAAGATTGCTAGGTTCGGCGCTGACTCAGGCTCGGAATACGAGTCCGTTCTGCCCTCGTCACCGCCCCTACCACTTGTCCCCTCCTCCTCTGTCACTCCTGTCGTCCCCGCACCTGTCATGCCTTCCGGAGCTACTCCTGACGCTGACACTCGGCTGGATGCACTCGAGGCGAAAATCGACCGCCTAACTGAGGCCCTTACTCTTCTCACCACCCAGGCTTCCGCTGCCGCTGCCGCCGCTAATACTGCTGGCGGACCCCAAACAACACCACCCCCGGAGACGTCGATTCCGACTCCGACTCCGGTTCAGGGCGATTCCGAGGCCCTCTTTGGCGACATCAACCTCGCCTCAAAATTGGTCTTACGACCAAACCCTCCGTTCACCTTCAACGGCGATCGGAAACGCGGCCGTGCGTTCCTCTATGCGGTCCGCACCTATGCCCGCCTTGCCCCTGAGGCCTTTGTGGTCAACGGAGAGGCGAGTGAGGAAATGTCCGTTTATGGCAGAAGGACCCGCTCAGCAATGGGCGGAGCGCCACGGAAGCAAAGCCCCGTTTCCGTTTCCGTCCTGGGGCTCGTTCGTTTCCGAGTTCCGACTCCGGTTCGTCGAGGAGAATGAGCAAGATCATGCTCTCTCCAAACTGGAGACTTCCGCCTATCACATGGGCACAAAGGATGTCTACCAGTACACCGACGACTTCGAGGACCTGATGGACCTCGCCGGATTCGAAGACGCGTTGGTCAAGGTGACCAAGTTCCGCCACGGACTTGACCCCCTGATCAATAACGGAATCACGTCCTCGAACGACCCCCCGGACCTCCGGGACTACCTTAGCTGGCGCACCCGGGCCTTCCGTCAATACGAGGCCCTGGTCCGGGCCAAGCTGATCAAGTCAGCCGCCCCCAAGACGCCTGGCGGTTTGATTCGGACTCCGTTTCCGGTCAACCGCATCCCGGCTCCGGCCCCTTTCCGCCCGGTGGCTCCGGTCGTGCCACCCGCGGCCCGCGCCCCCGCTCCGGTGCCTCCAGCTCCCGTCCCCATGGAGTTGGATCACACTAGGGCTCGGGGTGCCCCTCGTCGCGCCTGCTTCAGGTGCGGCGACCCAAACCATCTCGCCCGGGATTGCCCCCTCCCCGCGGACGTCCGCTCAATGGACATCCTCGATGAGGTGATCCAACAACTCGGTGACGAGATGTTAGCGGAGTTGATCGCCCGCTACTCCGACACAGCTGCCCTGCCGGAATCAACAGCGGAGTTGATGGCTGGGGAGGATTTTGTCCCCCGCGACGAGTGACCGGTGTGCCCTCGTTCGCGTCCATAAATCGTTTCGCCCCCTTGTATGATGAATGCACTCATTTGCCCTACAACGAGCCAGAAACGAAAGACATACCCTCCCCATCAATTTCCGATAAGGCCCCATCAATTTCCGATAAGGCTGCATCAATTTCCGATAAAGCCCATCAATTTCCGATAAGGCCTGTCACCCACCTCTGTCGCCTCACTGCCTGGGAAAAGTGTAAGGGCAACCCTGGAGACTCCGACGAAAGCCTAGCAGGGGAGGATCCAAAGCGTGAATAAGAGCTACGGGAAATACACGGAGGGACCGACCTAGCAGGGGAGGATCCAAAGAGAAGAAACTCTAAGGGTCCGCCTGCTAGGGCGCCAACTATATACTGGTCGTCCGTAACTGCCGACGTGAGGCGCAGAAGGCCTGAGCGGCGTCGCAGGCTCTGTCCCAAGGTGATCGTTGGGAGGGTCTTGACGGATCGGTGATTGTGCGGGCGAAGGAGGCCGTGGACGATGGTCGGGGTGGGTCGGAGCGTCCGAGGGGGCGCCGGTCGGATGCGCCTCGGATGCGTTCGGAGGGTCCGAAGGAGGCCGAAGGGGGTTCCCCTGACATCACCCCCCTTTGAATGCGGCGTCCCGACGCATAATCTGGAAGGGCAGCGAGTCGAAGGTTGCTGAGGCGATGTGCCGTGGTTTACCCGGGTATCTCCGATAGAAGTCCGCAATCTTGTCTGGCGCAAAGACACGGTCGAACCGAACCCACGAGTCGTGTGAAGCATCGTAGCCTTTCCACCTGACGAAATAGTTAAGACGCTTATACCTTATCCTGGCATCCAAGATTTCCTCGACTTCCCATTCGGGAACTCCGTCCTCTAGTTCGGGGGCGGTTCGTCGTAGCCGGGTCGTCCATCGAAGGGGGTCGTCCTGAGCGGGCTCGAGCTTAACAACGGGGAAGACGGGGTGGAGCTTGGAGTAACGGGGGGAGGTCTAGCTTGTAGGCACCTTTGCTAACCTCTGCGAGCACCTTGAACGGTCCAAGGCGCTTGTGGGAGAACTTCTCGGAGGGCCGAGTCGTTCTAATGTCAGAGGCGTCCAACCAAACCTTATCACTAACTTGAATATTCGGAGCGTCCGAACGTTTCCGATCGTAGTACCGTTTATACTCGTCTTTGGCTTTAACGAGCGCGGCCTTTGCCTCGGAGACGCCCGTTTGCTATCCGATCGCGAAACTCGTTCACCGACTCCAACTCTGAGCGGGCGCCTGGCTCGAAACCCATTCGGGGGAGCCGACCAGTGTCAGTCATAAAGGGTACCTGTTGAGTGGAGGAGTGAACGTGGTTGTTATAGGCGAACTCAGCGGCAGGGATAAGCTCGTCCCAGTCGTCTTGTTGGTAGTTGGTGAAGATCCGGATGTACTGCTCGAGCTCTTGGTTAACGCGCTCGGGTTTGTCCGTCGGTTTGCGGGTGGTAAGCCGTGGAGGTAGCCGGTTTGACGCCAATTAAGCGCCAGAGTTCGCGCGTGAAGTCAGCGATGAACTGCGAGCCACGGTCCGAAATGTACTTCTCGGGGGTTCCGTGGTGCCTCCAGACATTCCGATAGTACAAGCGGGCAGCTCCGACCGCGTCTATTGTCGTATGGCACTCAGTGAAGTGGGCGCGCTTTCCGAGGGCGTCGACCACTACCATAACCGCGTCATACCCATGGGCCTCGGGCAGCTCGACAATGAAGTCTACAGTGACAGTGTGCCAACGTTCGGGCGGGACTTCGGTCGGATGGAGCTCTCCATGCGGAAGCCTTCGGAGGGCCTTCGTGCGGCAGCATAAGTCGCAGGTCGCGACGTAGGCGTCCGATATGGCGAGACATCTGCGGCCACCAGTAGTTGCGCGAAACCAACTCTAAGGTCTTGAACCGCCCGGCGTGTCCGGGCGACTCGCGTATCGTGGCAGAGCTCGATGATGCGCCTCCTTAGGTCCTTGTCTTTAGGGACTACGACCTTGCCGCGGAAGTACAGGAGGTCGCCGGAGACGGCCCACTCGTCCGAACGTGATGAGCGGGGGCCCCGAACTTGACCTCGGACCTTCAAGAGTTGCCGGGCCGCAAGCGCGACGGGCTCCTCTAGGTCAGGCTCACCGGATAGCGCTTCCTTGATGTCGCGGACAAGTTCGGAGCCAGGCCCAGAGACGGTGACGGCCTCAAGCGCAAACATGGAACAGTTCGGGGCGTAAGAGGGTGACATCCGAGTTGTCGTCGGAGATACCGTGGTCGGGCCGGCGAGAGAGAGCATCGGGACGGCCCATTTGGCGACCTGGGACGTGGTGCAGCGTAAAGTCAAACCTGGAAAGGTACAACGACCATCGGGCTTGCCGACGGTTAAGGTGCTGTGCCTTTCGGAAATACTCCAAATTCTTATGGTCAGTCCAGATCTCGACCGGATGCGCGGCGCCCTCGAGGAAATGCCGATACTCCTCGAGTGCGCGGATGATCGCGAGCATCTCCTTGTCGTGAATCTCGTAGTTGCGCTGGACATCATTTAAGCTTTTGGAATAGAACGCTACAGGGTGCCACTTCCCGTCCGGGGCGGATTGTTGTGAAAGAACCGCCCCCGTCGCATAATCTGAGCTGTCTGCTTCAAGTCGGAAAGGCCGGGAGTCGTCCGGGATCGCTAAGACGGGCTCTGAGACGACCGCG